CACAGAACCTGTGCAGGGTTAGATACAGGAGTAAGAAGAGTTAAGACTGACTCGGTGCTCAATGGTTTGAGGCACCAGAAAGAGGGAGGCATTGTAACCTAGGCTGAGGGCAACTGTGGAGGGGCAGTTTATGTGTAAGTCACGGAGAGGGCACCAGGGACTCTGATTTGCTCATGGTCAGTTCCATGCCTCTGGTTTTCCAGGTAAAACTGCCTAGACTGTAGTTGAATCCAAAGTACTAGGACCCAGAGCAGAGGTCCAGGCAGAGGGTGTAAATGTGGGGGTCTATAAGGGACAGTGGCGCTCTGATGCCAGTGACTGCGGGAGGCCAGCTAGTCTTATAACCTGGCAGAGAAGACACCAAGAACTGAGACATAACTTTCTAGACGAGAAGCTTCGGAAACCTCAAGGGGTTCAGTGGGAAGTAACCTGATGGAACCAGATCTGAACTTGTGTGTTTTGTATCGAGGGCACTTGTTTTGCTATTTGTATTTAGAACACAACTTAGACCAAAGACCAATAACCCTGGGCAGACCAGCTTCAATGAGAAAGATTTAATATCCTAATAGAGAGGGGAAAGGAGAGGGGGGAGGGATGGGGGAATGGAGGAAGAGGGAAAGACATGGGGGGAGAAAGAGGCAGAGAAGAGGGAAGGAAGAAGGAGGGAGAGAGCAACACACATATGCAGACACACACACACACACACACACACACACGAGAGAGAGAGAGAGAGAGAGAGAGAGAGAGAGAGAGAGAGAGAGAGAGAGAGAGAGGATGATGTATAGTAGACTTCCCCTTCTCTTTTGCCTTAATTGTTTCTATGATGCCTTGGAGGTATGGACTGTGAAAGAGCCCTCAGGACTCAGTCTCTTGGATTCTAGATGCACTCCAGCGCAACCTCTGTTTGTCAAGGCCTGGTGTCTGCAGGGAGATGACCAAAGATGGACTAACAGCACCAGCTATGGCTTTACATCCCATGGCCTGTGTCACCAAGTGCCATGGTAAGTGGAAGTGACGCTTCCCCAGAGACCATGCTAGCTCTGATAATACTCCAGCCTCCTGCCTACACTTGCCCTCAGGCCAACTGGTGGGGCAGGATGCAGAGCACAGAGAAGCCACATGGCCCCCATGGCCCTTAGAACTATGAGCAGGGAGTCTGGGCAGGAGATGAAGGAGACGCCTTCTCCTTCAGGCCAGCTGTGTCCCCCCCAGATGTCTTGGAAGCCACAGGGGGAACTCTGAGGGCTTGCCAGTCAGCCTTCTAATAATGTCCATGTAGTTAGGGGAATACTTCTCTCCACACCTGCAACAGACACCTCTAGAGTCCCGCCCACCCTCCTCGTCACTCGCTATGTTCTCGGCGCAGACCCTGCTCTGAGGCTCACTGTTGCCAGACTCTTCACTGACAGCAGACACATGCCGATCTCAAGTCGGACTGGAAGCACTGGGGACGTCAATACTTGGGAACAGTTTTTGTGGGGAAACCTAGCTTTCTCCTTGGAGGGACAACTCCAAAGCATTTACTGTGCCTCTGAGTTCCCAGCAGGATGACATCAGTAGCCCATGCAATGAGATACTCCTTAACTCACCTTCTCTTGGTATCATATCCTTTCCTGTCTTGCTTGCTCCCAGGAGTTCCCCCCTCACATATTCTGACCTTTGTTTCAAATTCAGTTTCTGAATGACTCCAACCTAAACTAATTCCAACCAAGGAACAAGCTCTCTTCTACTTCTGTCGGTATGAGTATCTGCAGTGCTAGCTATGTAACAGGTTATGTCAGATAGCATCCTCATCCTGGATGGGGAAGTTACACAAATAACTGTACCAGACAAATGCACAAACTCCAGTGCAATGAAAATCTAACTATTGTTAGCACTGCTTGTCAGGGAAGGTTTCACATAAGCGGTGGCCTTGGAGGTTTTGGAGAGTGAACAGGCATTCCCCTAATAGACAAAGGAATGCAAAACACATATGAAACATTTGGCAGGGCACAAAATCACAATATTAGTTGAATATCACCATTGTTGCTAGAGAAGAAAGTATATTTTGAAGATTTATTTTTACTTTTTGTGTATGAGTGTTTTGCCTGCATGTATGCTTAAGCATCATATACATACCTGGTACGTGCGGAGGCTGGAAGAGGGAATGGCATTTGTAGATAATATGAGCTGCCATGTGGGCGCTGGGAACCTAATCTGGGTCCCCTCCAAGAGCAGCAAGTACTTGTAACCACTGAGCAATCTCTCCAGGCCTAGCAAGCATATTTTGAAGGGGGGGAGAGAGGCTTAAGGAAGTCAAGGACAGAATTAATGGCCAAAAGTATGATTAAATGGACAAGCAGTATTTTGTTTGCACTGATTTGCTGCTTATGCTGTTAATCTTGGTGCCAGGAAGATATTCTGAAACTGTGAATTATCTTTTTCTCATTGTCCAAGTATCAAATGCTCATTGTAGAAAAAGTGGGCAGATAGATTCCAAGTGGTGGAAAGGAGACAATTAGATTATTCTAAATCTATGGTTCATTCAGTCATTCTGGTATGTCTCAGTGGGATTTCAGCTGAGGTGCTGGACTTGTGTTTCAAGAATTTCTCTGGCAGCTGGATATGATTGTATGGCTAGAAGAACAGGGGAAATAGAGTGAGCAGGAAGGGGTGATGGCAATCCTCTGGGGCTGCAGGAGGATCGGCAGGGCTTCATACGCATTCAGGGATGAGAATATCGGGGCTTGAAGACCAGCTGAACAGGCATGGAGTAGAGGGGAACATGCCAGGTCAGCTAGAGGGATTCAGGTGTCTTTTTCCATCATAGGTGAAGAGACCAGAAAATGGGGATCAGGAGACCCAGGTTCCCGGTCCACTTTGACACTTCCCACATGTGGGATATGTTCCTTCCTCACAGACTTGTCATAGAGGGCAAGAGATAATCAATCACCCTTGGCGACAGGGAACCTATAGTCTCCAGTTCTCATCCAGAAACCTCAGGGCTACCCTTTGCCTAATCTCCTGCTTCCTGTCATCAGTCCCCAAGAGATCAAGGTGATCCTACAACCCTCTGGGCATCCCATCCTCTCCTCTCTGTATCCTCTCCACAGGATACCTGTGTTGCTGGCCCTGTGTGTGAAAATTCTCTAAAATGCCCCATGAGGCTTGGCATTTCTTCCCTCATTCACTCATTTTATGTGCCAGTGGATATTTAGTGAGTAGCAGGTGCCAGAGACACAGAGGTAGATAGGGTAGACAACACTTCTGCTCTTCTAGAGCTCAACTGCCATTCAGGGGAGATGACATTAATTCATGAATCAAGTCAGTGATCTGGTAGAGAATGCAGGAGCCCGAGAGGGAATCTTTGCACTAAGACCTGAATAACTCGGAAGCAAGAGCAAATGGAAAGGCCCTAGGGTTGCTTTGGGCTTGGAATGTCGAAAGCATGGAAAGATCATTGTGACTAAGCTTTACCGAAACTACTTCCCATGCTACGTAAGTGTCGTCCTTCCGTTCCTGCCTGCTGCCCTTCCTGATCTGACTTCACCAAATTCCTGTCCTCCAGTGATCACAACTGACCTGATGGCACGGGGCTCTTTACACATTGGGCTGGGAACTCCTGGGTATCAGGGATTGTCTTCACGGCTCTCCTAGCTGGGCTGATTCAGACACAAGCAGAAGCTGGATACATAAACTCCCAGGTCCAAGTAGCTCACCCTTCAACACTACAGAAGATGCTGCCCCTTAAATTGTAGCCCGCTCTTTCCACCCATCCCCTTACTCGGCTTTACCCACACCAGCCCACGCTACGCCAGTCTTCTCACCCTTCATATGTGTTTATTTATTGTGTTTCCTGTTTTCCTCCTGCTTCCGGGACTGAACCACCAGCTCTTTGATGGTGTTACCCACTTGTGGGAAACTAAAAAGGCTCACTCTGGCAGTTGGGGAGGCATTTATAAGAACGAGTGTGTATCGATACTCAGTCTTACGGAACGGGGTTACAGCCTCCAAAGCCTGCTAGCCTGCTGGTCACAAACAGAGCCAGGAGTAAAATCCTGGGCCGTGACCTTTCAACAAACTGAGCTGGCCAAAGAAAACTGCCCAAGGGCCCAGCCCAGCCCAGCCGGTGAGCCACCAGTTGCAGTGCTCATCTTGGAGCACCAAGTCCCCATTTTGCTGGTGGAGAAAACTCTCACCACGTAGGTTAAGTGGTCTGGAGTACGACAGCGCTGGTGTCTCTAGGATGGTGGCTACTCCCCCTATTCTTACCAACGCCCCTTTCACAGACTAGATCCCAGTTCTGGGGGTCTGTTGCACTCTTCCTTTGCTGTCTGGTCAGATCCAGGTGTCTTTTGGAGCCACATGCGCTACTCCTGCTGAAGAGAGACACCGAAAAAGTGTGAAGCTAGGTCCCCACGAGTGCCTTGGAGTCTGGCTCCCGCCACCCCGGAGCCCGTGGGAGCTGCGCCCCCGCCTCTGCCAGTCCCGGCCACGCTGTCAGTCTGCATTAGCGCTAACAGGCTCCAGACCGAGCGGGCTGGGCGCGGGGCTAATGCAATAGGCGCGTTACCTGGAGCACAGGCTACATTACCAGGTCGGCCTCCTCCGGGCGCGGCCAGAGCCAGCCAGCCCGCGTCCTGCCGGCCGCCCCGCGCCCGCAGCGTCCCCGGGGCTCCGCCTGAGTGCCACGCGGCGGAGCTCAGCCCCGGCTGGCGCCGGCGATCCCCGAGCCGCCCACCACGTGAGTGCGCCCTGCGCGCGGGACCGGTAAGTGTGCGGCCGGCCCCAAAGCACATCGTGAGCGGCTGCACCCACTAAAGTGTCCCGAAGGCTTCCAGGGTTATTGGGGGCAGCTCTCCTACCCGCCTCCGGAGCAGGACCGGGGCCGCGAGTTGACTCGGGCCCTGCACGGCCCACAAGAAACTTGCCATTAGGGGTGTGTGTGATGGTGCTGGAGGCAGAGACTGACCCAGGTAGAGACCAGGGTCTTTAGCCCGACCCACAGGGCGGCCCAAGGAGGTCCCCACCTATGAGTTCTGTCCCAGTCGGACGCGCGTCACAACCTCTGTCTCCAAATTTTTCCAACACATGTGCTCCCTTTTCTAGGAAGCCGGAGTCCACTCAGCGCACGGATCCCCACGTTCTGGTTTCCTCTGCGTGGTCTCAGTTGGTGCAAACAGATTGTAAGCCTTGGTGACCACTTTTTTTTTTCTTTTTCCTTTTCATGAAAGCAGAGCTTCGGTGTGTCCCCAGTGCCTCCGAAGTCCCTTTTTCCAGCCGCACCCATGCTTCTGGCGCGAATGAACCCGCAGGTGCAGCCGGAGCTCGGCGGGCCGGACCCGCTGCCTGAGCAGCCCCTAGGGCCCTGCAAAACCGCGGATCTGCTGGTGGTGAAGGAGCGCAACGGCGTCCAGTGTCTCCTGGCGTCCCAGGACGGTGACGCGCAGCCCCGGGAGACTTGGGGCAAGAAGATCGACTTCCTGCTGTCTGTGGTCGGCTTTGCAGTGGACCTGGCCAACGTGTGGCGCTTCCCCTATCTCTGCTACAAAAATGGTGGTGGTGAGCGCAGGGTTGACTGAGGCTTTGGACTTGGGAGGCTGCTTGCTCTTGTAGCGTCGGCTGGGAAGGGAGCAGGGATACCCATGGAGGAGAAGAGGACACACTAAATTAAGAAATTTAGTGTTCAGGAAAGAACTCTTCAGGGCGCCGGGAAATAGGATCGGAGTGTTCTCCATTAGGGAAATCGAGGCAGGACCTTGGACAGTGGTAGGCATAGGGGTTCAAGGACAGAATAGGGGGCCCGGCACCTGGTTGGGTTAGGAACTCTGAGTCAATACTGCCTCCTCAGGAAAGGGGTGTAGATCTTGAAAGGTTCTCGAAGAGTTTAGGATGTCCCAGCCTGACACGAGATGACAATAACTCTAACACTCTTAGCCTTGGGGCTCCAACACTAGGTCAGGTAAAACTGGAGCCCTTGGATCACCGGAGGGTTAGAGGGGTAAGTGCACATAGTTTTTGTGAGATTACACTACTAGATGCCAAGAACTAAGCTGGAGCTTTAGGAGGCCTGGGAGACTGGTGTGTCCCCTTCCGTTTTACAGGCTCTGGCTACATTGTGGAGTGGTGTGCAGGTGAGCTTGGAGAAGACACCCACCAGCCACGCTCTTTTTCCCTTTTTTTAATGAGCTGTCATTTTGCCCATATGCCCTGGAATGAGAGCACAGAGGTCATATACAAGACCATAGAAGCAGCCTTAGTTTCTTCCCGAAGGACTTGGAGCCTAAGATGCCCAAGCTACTGTAGTCCCACCTTTACTGAGATGTCAGCTCAGGAGTACCCCACACAGAACCCAAGGACATGAGCTTCTACAGGAAGGCATTGGGCCATCCCTGGTACTACAAGACAAGGCCACACCTTGCCTTGTAGTAACTCTGACTTAGAATTGAAGGGAAGTCCGATAGAGGCAGGGTGAAAATTTACAGGGCGTTGGAAGGAGCTTGTGACTTTGTCTCCCTGAGCCCAAGATGCAAGGCTCTTTGTTTCTGTGTGCTCTCTGGACACTTGCTTTGGGATAAGCAATACCCAGTGTTTGTAAAGAGGGTGTGGTCACCAAAGAGAGCAGGTGGCTCTGAGTTGATCCTGTTGCATATAGAAGCATTAGCTCTCACTGAGAGGGAATCAAAGCCAGAGTCAACGGATGAACAGCGGTGTATTCCCTTCCTGACGTGGGTCTGTCACCATTAGACACCCCAGATAAGGCCCAAGGGTCAGGAGATGCTTCCTAGCCTCGGATGGCCCTTTCTACTCTTCTGGCTCAGTACTCTGACCCACAGATGTTGGGCAGAGAGAGAAAGCCAAGGAAGAGGAACACAACCCTAAGGTTGAGCTTTTCCACAAGTTGTGACTGCAGATCTGCCAGGGACTCTGGGAAGATTTGAGCATTCTGGTCCTTGGAAGCCAATGGTAACAACAACAAAAAGGTAGATTTTCTATATTTGTTGCAAGCAGGGAGATGATGAATGAATGACAAATCGGGAGCCCTTAGGACAAGTTGCATGTCCTTAGTGACCGTCTGAGACTGCCTGTCCCTAGACACCAGACATTCTGTCATTAATCAACAATATTTCTCTGGGTTAGCTCAGTGTAAGGCATATTGCTAGGCTCTGCAGGGGTTACCTAGATGTATAAGCCACCATTCTGCCTGCTGGGAGCATTGATTTCCAGAAAGTCCTCAATGTCATGCTGTGATACCTCCTTTCTATTGCTAAATGCCCACTGACACTAAAGCAACACAGATGTCCAACTTGACACATGTGCTAAATAGATATTTCAGGGTCCTCACTGACACTCTATATCCACATGGCCACTGGCATGTTGCAGAGAGAATAGCTGCTGCGTGCTGAACGATAGATTGGGTTGCTAGGGCCAAAGTACAACAAATTTGTCACAGATGTAAAGTTTTCATTGAAATTGACTGAAGTTCCCTTTCCTGGGCATCCTCGTCCTGGAGTGGCCTATTCCGAGTTGTTCCATAATTTGTCTTTTGTGGACCCGTTTCCCAAGCAAGGTAGGAAAATCTGAGGTACAGACTATAGGATCTTAATCTCCAATAAGACTCAAATCCTAGAAATGCGATAGAAGGTTCCTACACACTTGTATTGAACAAATATATTAATAAAGTAACACAAGCTCTCAGATACTCATTGCCAATTTTAGAAACCATGACAGAAACATAATAAAACTAACACAGTGCTGTGATGGAGATGATGATGATGGTGATGATGTGAATGTGTATGGGGGGTGTGGCCTAGACATCAGGAGTCTTGACTGGGAAGTTATAGGCTCCAGTTTCTAACATGTATGACTCTGGGCAACTCTCCAGGCCTTTGTTTCCTCATCTGTCCAATAATCTTGTTCAGCTAAGAGGACGGCCGAGGACAAAATGCTCAGCGCGTGTGCAGAGCCAGTGTTAGAGGGAGCGTCCCTGCTTTTGTCAGTATCATTAGGATGCCTTAGGAAAGGGATGGGAGAGTGACTGGTGCTATAGAGGTTTAAGAAGGGGCTGCTGAGCAGAGACTCAGGGGGAGTGAGCTGTGGCTGGAATGCAGCTGCCATGGGCAGGGGAGGGCTTGGAAAAACAGCATTTTAGCTTCTACCTGGGACAGGCTTCTCAGAGGAGGAATTTAGGCTGGCCCAAGGGCAAGCCAGGAGAGATAAGGGTGAGAGGCAAGTTGGGGCTGGGCTGCAGAAGCCTTGAGTGCTAGGCTGAGGGGGAAGGGCTGCTACATGGATGAATTTCCATTGCTGATTAGGAGGTTTGTAATTGGTCTGGGGACAGGTAGTATAGCCAGCCCTTCATCTGGGAGAACAGAGCAGCCTGATTTTTAGTACTCCCATTACTGATCCAGGGGATGCTCAGTTTACCCCTGCAGGCCTTGATCTCCACTGAGATGTCACTCTGTTCTTGTGGGCCCACTCTCCTTCAGCAATTCTGCATTCAGTCCCAGAGATGGGCGAGCAGGCAGGTATCTCTTCAGTCTCAGAAGAAGCCAAAGACTTGAGTTTGAATCCCAACCCTGCCACTCACTGTGGCCTCAGCCATCAAAATTGATGTTATAAAGTGACACAGTCTTAGATGATCCCTACAATTCATTGCTCCCCAGTGCCCTGACTACTGCTGGACACAAGTCAGGCATCATCCTCCTGTCCTGGCCCTGGGTCTTTGTGTTCTTTGGTGCCAGTGCTAACATAGAACTCTCCAAGTCTGAGTGTTTATACTGGCCCAAACTGGAGAATGTTTTGAACTGAAGAAGGTGCCAATAGTTTATGCCCCTGGCTAATGTTTTATGAATGAATTACTGTCAAGGATCAGCCTGTCTGAACATCTTCCTGAAGACTAGGTGCTGGGATGATAGGGTGCGAGTTCTGGATTGTTCCCTTTGAACTTGAGATTGGGTCTGTGCTGGTCTCCGGAAAGGAACAAATACATAGGTGCTTGAGTACTCATTTCTGGAGGTGGCCTCGGTGGGTTTTCCTCTGTGCACGGTGCTCTGCACTGGATCTTGTGGCAACTGTGGATTCCGGGGTTTGGGCACACCCAGCTTTGAATCAGAGTCTGATATTTGCTGGAGAAGTGGCCTTGGGCAAGTCATATGGTGTCTTGAAGCCTCAGTTTCCTCGTGCAGAAAATAAAGGGGATAAATTTAACCTTTTCAACAGGGCCAGATAACATCGGACAATACAGATAAAGTACTTAGAATGATGTCCCATAATAGGGGCTCAATGGAAATGCTACCATTTCAATTATTTTTGATAATACTGGTTACATGGTGGACACAGGTATGGGATAAAGTAGAATTTATTCTGAAAAGAAATTGATGGAGGAGATAAGGTCAAAAAGAACTCCTTAAGCCTGGGGCCATAGCATGGCAGCTTTAGGAGGCAAAGGTTGGGCTTGTTCATGTCAGACAGCCTACAGTGTGCCACTGTAAATTGCTCACCTGGACAGTGGGCTTTGCACTCCAGCGTGGGATTCCATAAGACGTTATGATTCTGAGTTCCCAGTATACTTCCCTCACTACCCAAATGCTTGGGATCCTCAATACCACATCTGGGGTTTCCCAACTTGATACCTTCATGTCTAGCTAGGATGTAGGGCTCTCCACATCTGGATCTTGTTTGGGTGGCATTTATTATTTAGCTCAGACACACAAGGAGTCAAACAGCATGGTACTCAAACTTGGGGTGTGCCCCTCACTTTCTAAAGAGTAAGGAACTGATCTGGACTCATTATCATCTAGTGGCCCACTACTCTGAGCTGGCTAAAATGAGCTGAAGGGTTGTTCCCAACCAAGTGGGGTCCAATGGAGAAAAATGCTGTATTTTGTCCTGCAGTCTCAAACCCATTGCCTAAGTGAGGACTAAATTCTAGGACCAGTGGAGAAGGTTCAGGGCTTCCATTAGTGGCATCCTCTATGTGAGTCACTACAGAGACCTGTTTATTCAACAGAAACTCGTTGGCTAATGCAAACACCTTGTACAAAGATGTGTGGAAGACAACCCCTGCCTCTAGGGAGTTGTAGTCCACTGTAGATATTCTAAAAATTCATGATGTATTATACCATATTTGAAGTATGTTCTAAATGGGGGGCACTGAGGTCCTACTCAGTTCTTTGTGGGTCACATTTCCTATAGTAATAGAGTTCTAAGCATCCCAAACACTTTCAGATGTATCCCTCTTAAAGAGACTGGAATGGAGGTGACAGTAACCAGAAGCCACAAGGACTGGTCAAGCTTGGGCGTGACAATGCAAGGAGAGGTGTTGCATAAAGAGAAGTAGCCTCCAAACTCATTTACCTAAATCCCACCCCCACTGACCTCTGAGAGGAGCTGACTCACTCACACCAGGACGGTGGGTGTGCATCTTATCAGGAGTTGGTCCTGGGTATCAGGGCTCAGGCAAGAGGTCATCTTGAGCCAACATGAAAGTGAGAGAGTGAGTGTCCTTCCACCTAACCATGTCCTAGAAACCTGGCTCTGGGTTTTCCTGGGCAAAGGATCCCCAAGGACCTGTTGAACAATGTGAAAGGCCTTGTTGCCTGTGGGGCCTGGGAACAGAACTCAGGCACAGGACAGAAGAGCCCACCAGCATGCGCCAGAGGCCTCTTTTGTGGCCGATGGAACTGAGGATGAAAAGGAGCTCAAGGCCTTGGCTAGCAGAGTTCAGTCTAGAGCTCTAACAACTGGGAATTCCATACTTGGAGTTTTTAACAGAACTATTACAAAGGCCTATTGTCAAAGAAGGAAGGAGATATGTTTTAATTAACAGTTGTGACTGACGTTGTTATTTTAAGTTATGTCTGCAAGAGGACTGTGCCCCAGCCCTGCAAAAGTTTGGGTCATTCCCTGAGCTTAGATATTGGCTACAGGGGGGCCAGATCTGGCTGTTTTATTGGCCTAGGCATTGTTGGGCCTGAGGGGAGCCTCAGACTGTGACAGCCCACAGCTGAGCTGCAGGCATCCAGGAAGCTGCTCTGTGCATTTTCACTCCTTGAACACACCAGAGTTTATCTAGAATGCAGAAGGAAGTCTGTCCTCATGAGATTGGTCTAGATGACCTTCCTCTCCTGCTGGAGATTCCAGTGACCAGACTCCTTCCACTCATCCTAGTCCCTCAAACTTGGGCCATCACATTCCTCCTGGTACCCCTTCCTACCCTAGCCCCAGCCACCTTCCCCAGTGACTATCTAGTGATCTTAGAGGCTGTTGGCTTCTCTTCTGGATGACCCAGCATTTACATGGAAAATTCTAGAACCTCCTGTGCCAGTGGAGCTCTTCTATAATGGTGAGATATCTGGCCTTTGGCTGGAATCTCTTTCTCAATGGACACTTCTCTTCCTTGTAAGGTGGTGTGAACGTGTGTGTGTGTGTGTGTGTGTGTGCAAAAGGTTTAGTCCTAGCATTGCATGAGTATATATGGGTGTATGCTGTGTAAAGTCACATTTTGGGGGACTTCCTAGAAGCTGAGCCCTCAGGGAGGTATGGCCTGCTACATTTTCCCCGTGGAGTAAGCCCTGCACTTACACAACAAGGGCACTCCAGAGCTGTGGCAGAATCTGGACTCTCAAGGCCTGTGTCAGGCTTGTGGCAATGCACAGCCCCACGAGAGACACTCAGGAACACAAGGACGTAACAGCGATGGCCCTTGCAGACCAGTTTATTTACAAGCAGCTTTTAACTCCACGATGCTGCTGCAGAGCTGGTTGTGAAAAGATGTCCTCGGCCCACCACAGCTACCCAGACCCCGTCCTAACCCTTCAGCCACACCCCCATTCTTGTTTGTTTGTTTTGTAAGAGAGCTCACACCAGTGTGCTACTCAATGTCCATTTTTTAGCAGAAGCGTCGAACCACTGAGTGTTTTCTGGTTCTTCATTCATACTGGCCAGGTTTTAAACTGAAATATAATTACATCACACTCCCCTTCCATTTCCTCCCTCCAATCCCCGCCCCCCCCGTGTCCCCCATGCCAACATTCTTGAGTCTTCTGGGACTTGCATTCCGTGAAACATCTGTTGGTCACATCAGAGTCATTCATTGTGGAGAGTTGTGGCTCATGCAGACCCTTTGGTGTCTGTGCTTCCTCATACTGTTGTGACTTGCAGTTAGCAGCTGGGGACATGGGCTTCAAACTGAGTGAGCTACTGGGTTGGAGGTGCCATCTGGAAGTTTAGAGTTAAGAGCATTGGTTAAAGCAGTGATGAGCTGGCCAGGTCTTTACCTAGGCCAGGCAGAAAAGAACGTGGACTCTGTTGGCAAATCTTAGAACCCTTTGGGGGTACTGACTTCAGTCTTCAGGTCTACTCAACTGTTTAGGACCTAACTTCTTACTCAAATCCAAGTTCTAGACCCCCCAGGTGACAGAAGAGTGGGCCCAGGCAAATCTAAGTTATAAGCGTCTAAGCCTCAGTTTCCTTGCCTGTAAAATGAAGAGTATTTGTGATTATCTCTTAGGGATAGTTCTAAATGAATACTGTGTACAACCTGTGTGGCCTGACAAAGACTGGGTCTCCATCAAAAGACACATGTTGTTTTCTCTAAACCCATGACCTCCCGGCATTAGCACTATCCTTATCAACACCATCCCTGACAACTATGTGAGTAGATGCCAGAAGTTAAATGGAAGAAATGAGACCTTGACACGTGGTATTTCAAAGAATTCCTGCTTGGAGCAGACTTTGGAGTGACGGGTCAGCCTGTGACAAACAAACCAGATAGCTTGGCTTGCCCCAGATCCACAAACACTCCTCTTCCTACATCTTATTCAGACTCGTATCTGCATCTTTTATCTGCATTAGAACGTTCTAGAATCTGCAGGGTATATTGGGAACAGACCTCGAACTCAGAAGCCAGGCACACCTGAGCCTAAATTCTATATTTATAAGTCACCAGATATATAAGCCTGGGTAGTTGACTTGCTTTGACACTAAGCCCCAGTTTCCTCCTCTGGAGAGTGCACTTGTTTTCTACCAGAGGGGTTCTGGGTTGTACAGAACTCAGATACTTAGTGCTTGCATGATAAGCATGATATGAATTAGCAGTGGTTTTCACTACTCTCCAAATTGGGCCTGTGTCTAGCTGGGAATGACCTGGACTAACACATCATGCTTTAGCCTTGCAAGCCCCAGGCTTTCCACACAGAAGGCAGACACCGAGTCAATGAGTGAGCTCGACCTTGGATGTCATGTACCTCTGCTCCAATTCTTTTGTAGTGAAGTTTCCACACACAAAATGAAGTTAGCAATGATCTTTGCTATGTAGAAATGTGCTGTGAAAAGATAATGAGGTTGCATGGAAAATGCCCATATCACATCAGGGAGTTAGCCAGAGCAAGCTGGTGAGCTATGTGTTAAAATCATCAGTGTTGCTACCTTTACACACTCTCAACTTGGCTCATTTTCCTGGTGTGGATGGGTTAGAGATTGCCGCGGGTAGAGCGTCGCAGTCCGACATCCAGAGGGAGTTTGGTTTTGTGCTGGCTGTGCCCTGGAAGGAGCTGCTGTTCTGCTTTGATCCTGCTGACCTGGCATGCAGACATCCCTGAGTCACGGCACCAGATCTCTTAGCCCATGTAGCTTACCGAGAAGGTGTCAGGGCACACAGAGACTTGACCCTGGCACTGAGACCTGTCTCATTCCACCAGGATTGTCTCCTGTGGCCTAGGAAACTCTTCAGGTTCTACGTCAGTAGGCGGGCTTCTTATTGTACCAGACTTTTCCTTCAGCAGCCTACAGCAGGATGAGCCCCTTGGACAGGAAGGAAGCCCGAAGGAGAATCCCTCTGTCAATTATCAACAGTTCTATCAGGAAGTGTAGACTTCTCCCTCTGCCTAGCGATGTCCCTCGTTTTCTCATGGGTTGCTCTAAGGGGAATGCAGTAAAATCAGGTTTGGGGAAGCCACGTGAGACCTCCAATGACGTCAGTTGTGCCATCTCTCCCTGTCATCTTGTCTGTGAACAGAAAGGCTGGCCTGGCCAGGGAGGTTCCAGAGTGAGGCTTCACAAAAGGAAAGGCTCTTCATTTAGCAGACTTTGGTAGGGGCTGTATCTGGTGGTGCTTCACGGCCTGCACCGTGCACCAAAGGCTCCAAGAAGCTGTGGAAAACATGGCTCTTCATCTTTGCTTCTCTCAGATTTTATTCATCTGACCGCAAATGGGCATTTTATGATTAGCAACACTATGACTGCCATGCTAGCTAGTGTATGTATGTCAAGTGTTCTTCATAACCCTGTTGCCACAAGACATCCCTCCAGCCCCACCACCCCGGGAAACGTCCAGCTGAAGCGGATGGACAGGATCCTCATGGCTGCTGCAGATGCTTGACTATCCTAAAGGCCTAATGCAGTGTCTATGTTTCGCAGGTGCCTTCCTGATCCCATACACACTGTTCCTCATCATCGCTGGGATGCCACTGTTTTACATGGAGCTGGCTCTGGGGCAGTACAACAGGGAAGGTGCTGCCACGGTGTGGAAGATCTGTCCTTTCTTTAAAGGTAGGAGTGACCTGAGGGAAGCCAAATAGTTTCTCCAAAGCCTTCCTCGGCGCCTTCTGAAGAATCTGCTCCCAAGGTGTAATTTAAGGTAGACCGACTCTCACGTGGGGTTCAAAGGGATTGACGAAGTCAAAATTGTCCGCCCTTCAAATGTACACAAAGAAACTAGGTTACGTGAAATATAGCCTTAAATTTGAACTCCAGACTGGGCCTTGCTAATTGAGTGAATGACTAAAGAGTATTTTTACATATGGGAAATACAAAGATAGCAGAGATCTCAGCACACATAGCTCTGTTCTCACTTCTTTCTCCCATGGCAGGCATGATAAGTTGATCATGGATGCCTTCAAGCTCAAAACTGCCTTGGGAAGCTTAATACAGTAGCCATGATGGCTGTAAGATGAACTGGCCCTTGAATTTAGGACGAGTCCCTGGGAGGTAACCATGACAACTGCCATTCTCCATCCCCTAGCCTTTGGGAGAAGGGTGTGGAGCAAGGCCAGTATCTCTCAAACACTGGTTAGAAAAACAGTGATGTCTCCTGTGAGCCTCTTCCTAAGCAGCAAGAGTCTCTTCAGCACTCGTGTATACTCAGTCCGTGGAAAGGACAGGTTGATATAAAAGTCTACAGGATACATGGATTAGCATCTTCTCTGCTTAGTCATCTGAAATCCCACTAAAATGGCTTTATTTTAGTATTTTTTATAGGTTTTGGCAATTTTAAAAAGTTATCATACAAAGTGATGGGCTTCATGATGGAATTTTCATATATATAAAATATATATACATATATATGTATGTATGTATATAACTCAAATAAAAAGCCAGTGAAAGCTGTCTCTGGGTCTCCTAATGAAGCCATGAGTATATAAGGCAGATTATATATACTCAATTAGACTTTGATTTATTGGCTTACGTTAAGGTCTAGGGGTCTGGTCCTATGAAATTTGATACAGGTGCTCAAACAGCTGTCTGGAATCTCTCTTTCAGCTTTCTTTTCTCCCATATTAGCATCATTCCCAGATGCATTCTTATCAATTGCTAGCAAAGATGACCATTAGCAGCTACAAGGTTAAATTCTGCCAAGTTTAACAGTTGAAAACAACAAACATATGAGCAAGCAGCAACAAAAACCTCTCACATACTCAAGACTTCACTAAAGGACCCAGAGAAAACTTTCGTTGGTTTGACTTGAGTCACATGACTGTCCATTAACCAATCAGTGTAGCTACAGGGAAGCACTACTTGGATTGGCCAGGCCTGTATCGTAAGACCTTGGCTACATCAAGGAAACTGGGATTACTCTCTTTCAAACCCCACCACTAAGAATTATGGAGCATCATTGCACGTGGTGCATACCTTCAATCCCAGTACTCAGAGGGTAGAGGCAGGTGGATCTCTGTGAATTCCAGGACAGCCTGGTTTACAGAGTGAGTTCCAGGACAGCTGGGGCTGTTATACCACAGAGAAACCTTATCCCAGGGGAAAAAGAAGAAGAAAAAAGAAAATGCCAAGGATAATCCCTTAAAGCAATGCATGTGTAAGGAAAATTTTCTTCTCTTAAAAACAAAGCCACAGCTATAGCCGGAGCTTTCTGATTATTCAGTCAGTGTGTCAGCCCAGGACACAACTGTTGCAGGTAGGATCCTGCACACTGTGCTGAGAACCAGCCAGGGAATGCTTGGCTGGAGCTCCCCCCAGAAGCAGGTCCTGGAGAAGGATTTAAATAATCCAAGTATAAGGAGTTACCAGGGAAGGTAAGATGGTCTTAGGAACACCAGTTGGAGAAGCCTGTCTCTAGTTAAGGAGCCCTTCACTGGCCGGTTCCGCTGTAGGCAGGGAGAGATGTGAAACTCACCCTTGTGTTATCCTGATTGAGTGACGAGGGAGCTGTAGTATTTATATTCCAACACCCGATACAACATTAAGGCCCTGGCACTTCTATTTACCCGATGAGTGACCAAGAAAGCTACAGTGGCAAAGGATTATGGGTGAGGCCCTGGTAATCTGATCCAGAAAAAGAAAGGTGCAAGAGTGTGCAGCGGCTGGAGCCCGCTTCTAGGGGCGTGGGATAGCTACGCAACTGGGGCAAAAGCCTGACGTCTCCGTTCCCGCACAGGAGTGGGCTACGCTGTGATCCTCATTGCCCTCTATGTTGGCTTTTACTACAACGTCATCATTGCCTGGTCGCTCTACTACCTCTTTGCATCCTTCACCTTGAACCTGCCCTGGACCAACTGTGGCCATGCCTGGAACAGCCCCAACTGCACTGACCCGAAACTCCTCAATGCCTCGGTGCTGGGAGACCATACCAAATACTCCAAATACAAGTTCACACCGGCTGCAGAGTTTTATGAGTAAGTCATGGGCGTGTCACCTGCATACTCAGGCCTGGGCAGGAGCTGAGCCAGGCATTCAGGAAAACCACAGACCTGCTAGGCAGTCAGCATTTGAAAGGTGCAGGCTTGATGCCAAGTTGAGAGTAGAAGAGACAGGTGTGTATAGGGCAACCCGTGGAGCCTCCGGTATAGGACGGGAGAGTGGAGGGTGGGAGCCAGTATGCCAGCATTTGGACAGGAAGGGAGATGGTGTTGATGGTGTGTGCTCTGTAGGACAAAAAAAAAAGGCACTCTGGAGAGAATAATTGCCCTTAAGAACTAAAACTTATGTGGGAGAATGGGAGCATGTGGGAAGGACAGCTAGCTGCTTGGAGGAGGTGACTGTAGAAATGGATGATGTCAACCAAGAGAACATCCAGAAGCTAGCTGGCAGATGGTGGCTCCGTAGCTGGGATCCACATCTGTCTGGTCATGATGACGTCCTTTCATATATCCTGTGCTGAGGGCTTCCCTATGGGGGAAGCAAACCAGATGTATGCAGCTTGGACACAGTGCGTGCATGTGTGTTGTGTGTGCATGTATGCATGCATGGGTGTGTGTGTGTGTGTGTGTGTGTGTGTGATTATCTCCTGGCAGTGGTCAGAACATTGTTAAAACTATATACAGCACTTCAGTTGGAGTGGTTTCAGAAGTAGAAAAGCTTTAAGAATAGTACTTGGAACCTTTTCTCTCCAGCTTCTTCTTCTTCTTCTTCTTCTTCTTCTTCTTCTTCTTCTTCTTCTTCTTCTTCTTCTTCTTCTTCTTCTTCTTCTTCTTCTTCTTCTTCTTCTTCTTCCTCCTCCTCCTCCTCCTCTTCCTCCTTATTTTCCTTGGTTTTTTGAGGCAGGGTTTCTGTGTAGCTTTGGAGGCTGTCCTGGAACTAGTTCTTGTAGACCAGGCTGGTCTCAAATTCACAGTGATTCTCCTGCCTCTGCCTCCAAAGTGCTGGAATAAATACATGTGCCACCACTGCCCAGCTTCTAATATTGACATCTTGGGGAGCCATTTTGTACTATGTTATGATACTTAGTTGTCACATCTGCTTAGTCCCTCCAATATGGGTGAGTTCTTTGAGCTTTCCTTGAATTTCAGGACCTTGACACTTCTGGGGAGTACTGACCAGGGAGTCTATGAAGTATATGTCAAGATGGATTTAGTTGTTGTTTCTCACATTCTGATTTAGGGTGTGCACGTTTGTCAAGGGCACCATAGAGGCACTGTGGTTCTTTTCTTAGTAAGCCTTGTCTGGAGGCCATGATGCCAATCTGTCTTGTTACCTGTGATGTTAACCTTGAATGTGGCAAAGGTGGAAGCTGACAGCTTCTTTCTGGACAGGGATATTTTTACTTTGGTGATATTTGCTCTTCAGCTAGGTACTTTAAGTTTATGCAAGTGTCTTGTTTCTCACACTTTAACTTAATAGTGCCTATTATTAATTTTTGCAGGTGAGGATTTCTGCCATAGCATTTAATTGTCCCTTGCTATTTCCATCATTCCTTCTTGAATGACCGAGTAGAATCCTCCTTTAAGGACCAGCTTTCCCCCTCATGTATTTAATCCAATTTACTCACTTGAATCAGAATGGGGTCTTGAGTATTTATTTAATCTGTGGTCAACTCCAGAGCCATCACTATCCTTTCTCTTGGCCCCTTTGCTCTGTTTTCCTAAGTCTTAGTGAAGGGAATGGCTGCCTTGTTTTCAGTTATCTAACTTAAAATGCTTGCATGTCCTCAGAAACTGGCCTCAGCTGATCCCTCCAACACAGGTGAGCCTCATTTGAGCAATGCACTACACACATGTTAGTGGTTGAATACAAAGTCCAGACCACAAGCATGGAACAGGACAGGTAAACCCCACAGCACTCCACCCTCAAGGCTGATGTGATCCATTGCAGAAGCCCTACACTTTGTCAAATAGAAACACAGAATATATATTCTGAGGCTTTTAGATCACTTGTGTAGATTTATCTCCCGGGTCATATAAAAACCCCAACAGATACCATGGAAGTCCAGTTTAGTGGACCATGGGTTTTATTGGGGGCTACTTACAGGGAAATGGGTGAGGGGTTACTTACTGGAGCAGAGGTGACTCAAAGACAGTTATAACACCAAAGCCCACCCCACATGGGTGACAACTTACAAAAGCTAGAGCCTGGAACACACTGCACAGCCAGCAGGCTGCTCAACAGGTTGGACAGTGACGTTTTCAAGTGATTTGGTCTAAAGCTTTCCCAGGCTTGTCAGCTGGGTTCTGCTAGTCCCAGAGAACTCGCAGTGTTTATTGCTTACTCTGGCATTGGGTGGCCTAGTAAAACTGGTCAGTTTCAAGGACTTCCAGCAACTATTTTGAGTTGTTTGCCTTTCTGCTTAAGGAGCCTTACCATTAGTACGGAACCTGGTTAATACTATCTTTTCATTATGGCCACTGTGTTCTAAAATGTTGCTTGTTCTATGAATGAGGAACAAATCAGAAAGTGCCTCTTCCCAGGCCCCCAGTTTTGAAGTAGCATTGGAAGGGAGTTTGTCCTCAGCTTGGTCCAAGGACCAAGTTCTTCGTATGGTGAAGTTGAATTTTGGCTACACTTTGCAATCACCTGGGAAGTTTTCTTTTTTTTTTCTTTAATAATTTTTTTAAGTTTCATTTTACATTCCAACCTCAGTTCTCCCTCCCACCCTTCCTCCCACCACCCTCACCTCCTCCCTAACTCTCCCCCTCATCCACTCCTCCTTACGGGGTAAGTTCACCCATGAGGAGTCAACAAAGTCTGGCTCAATAGGTTGGGGCAGGACCAAGCCCGTCTCCCATGCTTCAAGGCTGAGCATGGCATCCCACTGTAGGGAATGGGCTCCAACAAGCTGGCTCACACACCAGGTGTAGATCCTGGTTCTACAGCCAGGGGCCTCACCTGAGGAGTTTAAAAAGTTACTGCTGCCAGGATCTTACCAGCCTGGGTACAGCCAGGGCACATGGACTTTTGTGATCAGTGTCTCCCCAGAATGCTAACATCCAGCCAGGGGACATGGACTTTTGTGATCAGTGTCTCCCCAGAGTCCTAACATCCAGCCATCTTAGAAAGCCCCTGGATTAGTCACTCCACACAGTTCTGTGTCCCTGTGGGGATCTCATGTCGTAGAAATTCTAGGGCTGCATTCTTTTCCAGAGGAGCACGGCCTCAGACCCCAGAACTGTAAAAGAGTTTGTGGGTGAAAGTTCCGGGAGTTTCTTCATATTTTATGAGTGTGGTTTGGACAGGGAGTCTGTGCAAGATGGGGGATGGTGGGGAACTGCTGATCCATACTTCCCGGCATGCTCCTCTCACAGAGCAAGCAGCATTGTTTTTCTTTAGCTCCTGGCAATGGTTGTTCTTATAAATTAAAGTGGTAAATGAAAGCCCCTCATCTTGGTCTGGTTAGTATTTGATTCCTCCCCTGAGTGGCCAGCACATCTACTCCTGCAGAGACAGATTCACAGCAGGAGGGAGAGGAGACCTTGAGCGCTTTTGTTGCAGAGCTGAGCTTCTTCCAGGCCCAGACACATGGTGGAAGGAGAACATTCCTGTCTGGGGTGACACATGGGGCTTGGGGGCCAAGGGGAGGGAGCAGAAGGTGGGGGGATGTCAGAAACCTTCTGCTCTACAGATTCCACCCCCCCACACACAAGCCTTCATAGCTATCCTGAACAGGGTTCTGAGCACGCCTTCACATCTGGCTGCTACCTTATTCTCTGCATTTGTGGAAGTGGAAATGAGTTGTGTTGTCAGACAGTGAGTAGAGGCCCAGCTCGAGGTCTGAGGCAGAGCTGGGTCTCCTCTTTGCCCCAGGGCTCTCCCCTCATCCCGTCTGGCTCACAAGTGCAGGGGCCTCTGCTGGTAGACAGGAGTCCTTCCAGTGCCTCTCTTTCTTCAGTACTGTCTGTATGCCTTCCAGAACACGACATTCTCATGGGCTGCCTTTGGATTTTTGTGTCGTACATGTCCCTTTTATTGAAATACTTAAGCTTTTAGGACAACTCAACTCTGTCTAGAGAGCCAGCAAATGTGACTCCCAGTGCCAGCCCTGTGGAGGTTGGGTAATTCCTTCTTTTGCCCCAGGCACCCTGGCCAAGTGTGTTGCCATCTTGTACTCATTTAGCCTGACAGACTGAACATATCATTCAAGGGAACAAAACTGTTGCTCTCTTCAGGCTCTGGGCCTGAAGCCACACAGAGCCACGGCTGAAAGCCACTGAAGTTCTCACTTTATCTGTAAAAGACACCTTCAGTGAATGTGTCAGGATAGAAAATATCTCCGTGTGATACCTCTGGCGAGGAAGGGAATTCTCCCTCCTCCCCAGTACTAAATGCTTAAATGTCAAGTGAGAAATGGAGCCATTTTGGCCCACAGGCTTTGGAAAACCTGGATGGTGCCCCCGGTGATGATTCACGCCCAGTAAGCTGCCAGAAAAGGAATAAAACCCGAGTACCTGTGCCAACCCCACAGCCGGGGAGGTTGGCCCTCAATGCTCTTCTTCCTGACCAGCTCCAGAGTCTGGTTCTTCAGATGCCTGTGGGGAAGCACGCTCCATGAGGGCAGTTCAGTTGTATGACTGCACTTTAGGGCATTTCCCCAAGCTTCAACGTGTGTGTGTGTGTGTGTGTGTGTGTGTGTGTGTGTGTGTGTGTGTCCGTCCATGTGTGTGTGTCTGATTTTAACAGTCAAATTAGCCAAATGGCAGTTGTCACCTCTGATCCATAACACTATGAGATGAAGCAGAACTAATTATCAAGTGAGACTAGACTGTTCATTCTCTATTTTTGGTCATTTTCAGCCATTCATTCCACTTCATCCTCCCTACCCCCTTTTCTCTTTTCTTCTCTTCCCATCTCTTCTCTTTGCCTTCCCACCTTCTCTATCTGTAAATAAAGGTTATAAGTCTGGGACCCACTTTTGATTTGAGGGTAGCAGGACTCAAACGTTGGCCAGGCTGACAAATCGGGTTGGGATATGTATTCTAGGATTCAGGAACAGAAGGCTCCAAGACCCTCCCTTAGGGTCAGGGGAGCATCTGAGGATTATAGACAAGTATCTTGCTGTTGGCAGGACCAAAAGGCAGGTGTGGCAAGGGAGGCATGAGCTTGGCAGTCATGGGCTCTGAAAGCTCTCTGACACTGAAGGCTTCTGTGGCCTAGAGATAGACTTCCCAACTTGACATGCATTATTTAGGGCAGGATGATTCTGTCTGGGGAGCGAGGGTGGGGTAGCCAGTGTCATGTATGTCTGTCAGTGTCCTTGGTCTCTACTCAGTAGGTGCCAGCACCGGCCCTTTCTCTCTGTATAGAATATATAAGATCCAGACACAGGAAGTAGTGTGTCAGTGAGAAGTTCTGTTTTAGGTGAGAGGCAGCCTCTGAGGATTTGGAGACAAAAGAGTGACATGGTTAGACTGACATGCACGTGTCACCTCCCGGTAGTAGACAGTAGACTTAAGAGAGCTAATGTGAGGCAGAGAGACCAGGACTGAGGGAGCCAGTGACATTTTCACACTTTCATAGGCCACTCACAAATGCTAACTCCTCAGGGGCAAGCGGTGGCTCTCCAGACTGGGAGTAGACAAACTCATCAGCACTGAATCTGATTTTTTTGAGCTGGTTCAGTGAAGGCGGCTCCACTCCCCATTACCATTATCCATGCACTCCTCCAAGAACCCAGGCTTCTGGAAGAGTTACAGGCCCACTTCTTAGGAACCTCCCTACGTTCGGAAAGCCGATTGTGTTTTGCCAGTAAAGTAGACAGTTTTGGAAGGCCCAAGTTGGTCTAGCAGAAGCCTGTCATTTGGGACCAGGGCCTTTGACTCAGTAGGTTCAATCTTTGGCTGCCAATCAAAGACATTGTTGCCCAAGTACCAACTCCCCAGAGGTTCTGACTTAATTGGTTAAAAGTGAGTAGACAGCAGCAGATCTTTTATGATATAAACCATCTTTTAAAAGATTGATTTTTGTCTCTTCTGGTGGCCCATGGGAGACTGAAGCAGGAAGATTGCCATGGGTTCCAGGTCAGCCTGGGCTACATAGTGAAACGGAATGTCCAACAGCAACAACAGAGAGATATATTTATTTTGACGTTAGGCAATTAATACTAATGTGTCAGTTGAGAATCCTGTTTCTGAAGGGAAGAATGCTCAGATATGGGCTGCATGCATAACTGATGCCCCTGGCAGGTTCTGAATTATATTCAAATTAAAACCCTTATTTCATAATTCTCTTTAGGTGGAGGTGGAAGAAGAGATAGAAAACTAGGGATGGGGGGAGGAAAGGAGGATGAGAAAGGATTGGGGGGATACAGGGAAGGAGGACAGATAAGGCAGATATCCATGTATACATAAATATTAGATAACATATAGATAATATTAGACAATTAATTCTCTCCATCAAAGATGCATACTTTTTTGCCACCAGTGTGTCCTTTTGAACAGTGTTTTATTCGAAGGAACCATAGTGTGTGAACTTGCTGCCTTCCCTTAATACTTCAGCATGATTTATAGCTAGGTTCTCTTTGAAGCTGAGCACAGACATTTGCACAAGGACACTCAGGGAAGTGGGAAAATGGGAGGTTGTCTTTGGAAATACAAAGTACCTAGAGAGCCGGAACTTTAGCACAAGTAGAAGGAGGACAAAAGCATGTTGGGGACTCACATTATCTCCCCTGGTTCTCCCTGGAGTGGTTCTGGGTTCCCATATTTTATTAGAGTATAAGATGAACTGTTGGGTTTAGCCAGAAGAGTTGAGGACACTTGTGCGTTTTGAATATAGCACGTAGCTACCACACCTGGGTTAAGCCCTAGCAACCCAGGAGTGATTTATCTACCTCTCTTTCCTGGAAGACCTTTGTGCAGTGAACCTGTATATCACACTGTGAAAATGTGTCTATTCTGAACAGGTACAGACAAAAGCTTGTCTCTTGCCATTATCTCCGTAGTGATACAGAATAGCACTTGTACTGATACTAGGTAGTTAAAGTAATCTAGAGATGATAGATATTAAATTACAAAAAGATCTGTGCAAGAAATACCAAATACAATGCTATTTTATCTAAGGGACTTTAGCATCCACAGACTTCAGTAGCCATGAAAGGTCATGGAACCAATTCCCCAGGGATACTGAGGGACACTATGCATTAGCCTTGGTATCCCAAGTAGAAGCTCTTCTGGAAGATAAGTCAGGAGCCATGGGAACTGAAAGGGTTAAAGATATATGACAAGGGTTATTGTTGGACCCTTCTGGAAGAAAAGACATTGGGGCAGCCAACTATGGCCTTTGAGTGTGGCATTCAGAGGCAGGTAGGTGGAGACCATCCTGGGGGCCTCCTGCAGCTCCCTGACTGCTCACAGCATACACCACTCTTTGTTGTGATTTTACACTTAATGCTACTGCCAAAGTTGGATGTAACCTTGTCAAGGCAGGGACTGCAATGCCAGGGGCTTCCTAAGTGTGTCTATGGTCTAGATGGGCCAGCCTACAGTTAAGCTTTTGAGAGGAATGCATGACACAGGTGTGGTCAAAGGCCCCACTAAGGTACTCTCTGCTCTCCTTGCTTGACTTCTTAGGGTGTGGAATTGTTGGTGAACATCTGTACCCCATAGGACACCTAGTTTCTGGGACCTAATCTACTATTTTATCCATTTGTCTTAGTTGACCATGTGGCCAAGAGACTTTGGGTTCTAATTAGCGAGTGATCATTTTGCTTATTGTTGTGTTTTTCATTCCCTCACTGTACATGTGTGTGGCATCTCAATAACCTCAGAGTGCCTATTCTTTTTGTTTTCACTGGTTAAAATGCCTTTTATTGAAGGATGACATAGCACAAAGAAATACATATCACAAAGGACCAGCTTAGTGACTGCCACAAACTGAACATAGCCATGTGAACAGCACCCAGCCCAGGAATCAGGGTGCCTAGAAGTGCCCATGCATGCCTCCCTGCTTGCCAACACTTACTTCCAGCCCAGAGTGACTTTTAACCAGCTAAATTAATTTTCCACATTTCACAGAACTTCATATGAATGGAATCAGATGGAAAAATGCTCATTTGATTGTCTGCCATAGCCATAAGATGCAAAAAGTTCATCTCCATGGGTGTAGATGCTGCATAATACTCCACAATCTGTCTATTCTACTAATGGTGGAAAGGCTGGGAATGTAGCTCAGCGGCAAAGTGTTTGTCTATTAATGGATGATTTGTGTGTGTGTGTGTGTGTGTGAATACTAATTCTATTAAAGGTGGATTTCACCATTTAGGGGCTGTTGTGTGTATGAACACTGTTCTTTCTCCTACTGAGAGCTGCTAGTTTAGAAGGTGAACTCTGGAGGACAGGGGCCTTCCCTGCCTTAGCATCATGTCCCCAGGGCCAGTAAGTGGCGCTTCAGCAGGCCATCCTGGGTGCAGGCCATAGCTGGCCAGAACTGGCACACTCAATAGCCCTAGAGTTAGGGAGTGTTGGATCCTGCCACCATCACTAGGCACTTGGTCATCCTCCTTGGCGCTGTCCTCTTTCTTGCTCACAGGCGCGGTGTCCTTCACCTGCACGAGAGCAGCGGGATCCACGACATCGGCCTGCCCCAGTGGCAGCTGCTGCTCTGCCTGATGGTCGTCATCGTTGTCTTGTACTTCAGCCTCTGGAAGGGAGTGAAGACGTCGGGAAAGGTGATGCCTCTGTGCGTCTTCATCTGGGAAGTTGGCCTTAGGAATACACATCTTGTGTTGTGTTCTCCTAGCTACAGTCATGCAACTGGTACAAATAGCTGGGCCCAGGACCGCAAGTTTGGGTCATACCCTCAGCTCTGCCATTGTGTGAGCAAGCCAATTAGCCTCAACCCGACTCTGCCCAAGGGTAAAGGGGAGCAAGTAGATCAGATATCCTCATATTTTCCCTTGAAAGCTTCTATAATAGCAGAAACCGGGGCTTGGGGCATCCCCTAAAGTCTGAGATCAAGGCTACAGATCATTGACTTTGAAATCTAAAACTGCATGCAAGTATTTCACCCTACTCAGGAAATCAACAATTTGTTTTGCTATAAAACTAATAAATTCATACTGAATTTATGGGAGAAAGATGTTCTGAAAGATAATTAGATGCATGTTTTTGTTTTGATACAGTGTTGGGCACCCCCAAGTGTCTAGATACTAAGGAGAACACAAGGTTCACTAGACAGTAAGGGTGGCATTGTGCTTTACGCTGCTTCCCGCCGTGGTCAGCTCTAAGGGATGGAGTTTGCATAGGGAATGGCTTCATCTGACTTTTAGCTTTGGCAATAACATGGGGATAACAACCCCACTGGGACCTCGTGTAGCTTGGAACTCTCCTGTAATTAAAGACGATAGAGCTAGGAAGTGTCCTTTCTAATGCTTTTCTTAGATAGTGCCTTGGAACAAGCCTCACCAAAATATAGTGAGTTAAAATGGCAAATATTTTTGTCATGTCTCACAGTTCTGGCAATTGACTGGGCTCAGGTGGATGGTTCTTCTCTGTGTGATGTCTAGAGACCTGACTGGGACATCCTAGGTGGTTGGGACTGTCTGGGAGCTGAGTTGGAAGGCTTAGGGTCAAAGGACTTAGAATTGCTTCCATGTAGCTTTTCTGTTTTTCCTGGACAACTCACATCATGACAGCTGACTTCTACACCATACTCCAAACAGAAGAGAGCCCACATGCAGTAGCTCTTCCAGTCTCTGATTGCATCATGCTTGTTCTGTGTCCCAGTGTCAAAACCAATCTAGGATTACTATCATGTTGATGCTGTGCACATAGTAGGTCTCCAGTAAATGCTTAGTAATGGGTTGAAGAATGGTTGGGTAAATTTAGGGGACTTTATTAAGTGCTTAGCTCAACTTCTTAAGCTTTTATGGGCACTGATTATGTGAGGTCCTCGATGCTAGTACTAACAGTACACAAATAGAAGGCAGATTATTTCCTTGGTTACTTTGATCTGTTTGTGTCCCTGATGGGCTTGGGGTCAGCAGAGGTGTCCAGTATTTTGAGTCATTATCCAAATGCATCCATGTTCAGCCTCATTCAAATTTAACACCAGTGGTCACAAACTATACTTGTTATTATACAGTTTGCTTTTTTAATTTTAAACTTAATTTTACCTTAGAATATTTTCTTATTAGGTAGTCCAGTTATATCTTAACAAAAATACAAACTGTAGGTTTTTAAACTGTTATTAAGCCAATGTAGCAGGTAGCTACACTAGACAGATGAAGGTAGCCATGTGTATGTTTACTTATACTTTGATGAGACAAGCAATATTTCCTATCATGTGGCATGGCCCAAAAGTCCCAGATGCCACATTTGTGGACAATGGATGCCTTTTCAGCTAAGAAGGTCCACAAAGACCACAGAGAAGGTTTTGTTTGTGCTTCACCTGGTAGGATTGGCTTGGGTAGAAGTGAGCAGAAAAGGAAAGTTTCTCATTGGAAGAACAAAGCCACCAAGGCGTGGCAGACTTAGACAAGCTTGGGTTCCCTGTGTGCCCCTGGTGCCAGGAGCAGGCCTCACAGCCCACCCAGAGAGCTGCAGAAGATGGGTGTGGGGCCATCAGTATCCGAATATGGCAACCCAAGCTTATTCTTCACAGCATGAGCAAACCATAAGCTGCCAGCAGGGAGACTGGTGTTACCAAGTGATCAGCAGCAGGAGCAGTGGCCCAGTGTGCTCAGTTCCTCTTGCCAAATGTACTTTCTGAGGTGAGGAGGAGTGTTTCCCCAGGAAAGCACCCTCCATGTGGAAACATGACAAGGATGTGAATGACTCTGTAGAGTCAACTGAAGCCAGGGCCCTCATTTGCATAACTCCCCAGAGTCCTGAAGTCTGAACAAAATGAGGTCTAGGTAGTTCACTGGGGATGGCATTTCTAGAACTGGCTTCACTCAGGACATTCCAGGACTGTCTTTAATTGTTTTTATAAACTGGCTGATGAGGAATCCAAGAGTAATGCTTATTTCTTTCCAGCACAGCACACAAGCTTGTCTTAGTTCGTCTCCAGAGTCACAGAGGGGGCCTGGAATTAGTCAAACATGTGTAAGGGAAGATGGCTTGGAAAGATACTGACTCCACGGCTCTTAGGAAGGTGGGAGTGTAGTCTGAACCAGGGGAAGGGGACACCCCAGACCACACACTCAGTGAGAGCTGTGTTGGCCCAGTGAGCACTTCTGAAGAGAAAGTCAGAGGGGGTCAGAAGTGGTGCTTGCCTCCCCATCTCCTGTCTCCTGTGTTCCCACCCAGTCAGTTTACACACTGCACTGAGTGTGAGAAACTTCCCAGGGCATGAGATGAGCTGGCAGAGCTGTCCAGGACCAGCCATTCGTTACCCATTTCACTGCCAAACTTCGGGCTGTTTGGAAGGTGGGAACATGTAGACCATGTCCTGAATTCTAGTAAGAGGTGGTGGAATTGGAAAGAGAGAGAAAACCATACAAACTCAGAGATTAAGTTTTAGAATACTTAATAGATAAAAAACTTTCTTGTTTGCATTTTCATTTCTAGTGAAGTCATAATTCTAGCCATCTTTCCCACTACTGTGTCAATACAGGCTGATTCTGGTTTACCTTCATGACTTGACTAAGTTATACACTTAGTTACACAGAACAGAGTCATTTGCATATGATCCATGCTTGCACTAAACTATGTATAGCATGCTGTTTTCTTAAGCAACATTAGTGTTATGCCATTCCTTATACATTCTTCTGTGTAAAAAAATTATTTTCATTGCTGAAAACGGCCCTGGAATTCAGTTCAAAGACCACAAAGCCTAGGTGTGGAAAAATTAATCACGTTTCACAGAGATACGGAGTGGATATTTACTTTATTTATTTTAATGCTCATTTGTGTGAACATGTGTATGTTTGTATGTGTGTGGAGTGCACATACGTATTTGGTGGGCGGTGTACAAGTAAAGCCCAATGGGAAGGCTACGGATTGCCATTCCTGTGCACTATTTTTGTTGTTGCTCTTGCTATTGTTTGCTCGCTTGTTTGTTTAAGAGTTTCTCACTGGTCTGGTCCTTGGCAAGTAAACTAGGCTAGCTGGCCACAAACTGTAGGGAGCTTCCACCCAGCGCTATGGGACCAGGGAGATGCTGAGCTTCCATTATTCAAAGTGTGCAAGCCTCGGTATGCTCCCAGGCACCAGGCCAAGTATGGTCTTGGTCAAGGTGAGGTCCATGGGCTACTAGCATTGATGTCACCCATGACCTACTAGAATTGATGTCATCCAGAAGCTCATCAGAAAGGGGAGCTCCTCTCCCACCCCCACCAAATTAGGTCTCTCCAGGAAGGAGCAGAAAGCTAAGCTTTCCGGGGGTGCCTCTCAGGGTCCTCTTAGACTTGCAGATGGAGAAGCTCTGGTGGGTGTTATGCTCCAACACTGAGAATATAAATACCCACACCACTGGGAGGGTGCTCTGTCATCTCAGGCTCTTCCTTTTATGAGCCACAGTCGTCTTCATTTTTATGATCAGTCATTGCTTTGAGTTTGTTGCTGTGGAACTTAAGAAGTTATCCATAGATACATCCAAGCAGATAAGAATTTATCTTTAGACAAGGTGGAACACATCCTCATTCCCAGCATTTAGGAAACAGAGTTTGAGGTTAGCCTGATCTTTTAGAGCAGGTTAGCCAGGGCTACCTAGTGAGACTGTCTCAAAATAAAAGCAAACAAAACAAAAACCAAAAACAGTAGCAAAGTCCCCAAACCAAGCTATGTTTAAAGTGACAGAACAAGAAAAAAAGGAGTTGCTCATTTGTTCTTTATCTCATGTTTAAAAGTAGGCCTAGGATGGAGATGACACAGCTCAGAGGGCTCTTCCTTGGCTGTTCTCATAGGGACACACATGGCTGTGAGGGAGATGTCCTCCAGCTTTTGACAAAAGGTTCTAGAGGCCACCAAAAGCTTTAAATTTGAATGCATGGTCACGGGGCTGGGGTGGGGGACATCTTCTCTTTCTTGATGCTTGATGTACTCACAGTACATCACACTTATACCCTGGTGCATTCTTTAGGAAACCAAATCTGTGTTGGAGCCTCAGTCATGGCCAGTGCAAGACCACCTCCAGGCTCGACGGAGGGGGAGATTTCTTAGAGTCAGAACACTGGGTGCTGTTTCCATGGGAGGAGTGTGGTCACACCCAGCCTGCTGGGTAGGACAGTGCAGCTGTGCCACAGCTGTTGACAAGAGTTGTAGTAGACTGTAGCTGTTAGAATAAGGAAGGATGACGACTCTTCTTTGTTCCAATTGCCAAGGGTTGAGATCCGTTTGTCCCATTTGGAGAGATTGAGTCATCCGAGACCAATGTGAGGCCACCCAGATGCAGCAGCTTCAGCGTCAAGGGCATGTTTTGCTCCCCGTTTGTTATCAAGTTTTGTCCTCCACGTTTCAGCATTAACAACCCCTCAAAGAACAGAAGCCAAAGTACATATTCTCAAAGACATTCATAGAACTGGGGAGTGACTAACTGAATATCATTAAACAGGGAGCATTTTCTGGTTCCCTCCAAACCAGATGTGCCTACCACTGATGGGTCTACTCTGTTTCCTCACTCATTCATTTGCTCTTATTTTCATTCTTTCTTTCACTAACTCTGTCATTCACTGGCTGTCTGGTTTATAACTCAACTGCTCTTACTTCCTTCCATCCCTGCACCCAACCATCTGACCACTTAACTACCCATTCCTTCATTTAACCAAAAGCCCAGTTCTATAGCCAACCATCTGTCCCATCTTCTAACTCAAACTTTCATCTATATGAATGTTCATTCATTCACCTAACAGACATTTTAAAGGACCCATATACCCCAGGAATAAGGAAATAAGCCAGCTAAATTCCAGTTTATAAATGCATATATGGAAAAATGTATGAGTTTGTCACTAATACATTACTCTTTGTTTTGAGTCCATATCTTTCTAGGCTGACAAAGAACTTTACCCTCAGGCATGTCTTCAGTGTTCCATGTTCCCTCTAGGCTTGTGTATGGACTCTTTAGGGGGCAGAGTGCCTGAGCTGTAGGGGGGAAACTCTCCTGGTCCTTAAGCTATGTGTCCATTCATGTTACAGCAGTGCCTTCCTTGGGTCTGACTACCCAGCCCTGGCTCAGTGTTCTGTTTGGGTCCCAACTTTTCTGCAAAGAAAATGCTACAGCCCACAGCTGCATCAAAGTGAAGACATTTAACCTTGGCTACACAAAATTGACCTTAGTTGGGAAAAAATAATGTAGTTGAGGCCCTACCTTAGGTCATTTGAACCAGAAATCCCAAGCCAGGGGCCTCTCTACAACATTCTAGTATATAACTCCCCTGGAGTGCTATAGTGTATAGACAAGAGCAAGGAGGATCAGAGAGGGTGGCAGGCCTCCTAGTCACCTCTCTCTCTCTCTGTCCCTCCAAGCTGGGGGTGACTATCTGTTCTGATTCTAAAGGCAATCTCTTCCCTTTTGTATTTCTCCAAAGACAGTTTGTCTTGGTCTCTATCTGCTCCTACTGAGGTGGGGAATTTTTTTCTGTTTTCTGTCCAGTCACATGCACCACAGACTTGAGAGAATGCACTTAAATGTGGATAAAGAAATAGAGAGAAGTTAACTGTTTTGCACGCATTTGTAATCACAGCACCTGGGAGACTGAGACAGGAGGATCATGAGTTTGAGGGATCCTGGGCTACATGTGAGCCAATGTCTCATAAAATAAAAGATGTATCTCAGAGGTTGAGTGTTTGCTTGACATGAGGAAGGTGCTGTCCTCTACACTGAAGGAAATAAAGGCACATATACACAAAAAGAGAATGCGTTAAAGGATAAGGACAGATGGCAATGGAGGAGAAGGAAAACGGAGAGAGAAAGGGGGGGGGAGACTGGACATTTTAAATAACTTGCCTGTCAGTTGAGTGCAGCAACCAATGATGGAGGCAAGACTGACAGGAGGAGGGTGAGTGTACTCAGTTCTATATGAAGAAGCTTAAAGGGATCAGGGTAGGGAGTTTTGTTGAAGAAGAGGCACCAAGGGCTTTGACAGTCTAGTTTTTGTCCTTGCTGGCCACCGTTGCTGTCTGAGCCCTATTCTCTAAGTGACTGACTGACTGACTCTACCAGTTCTAAGCTTCTTCAGGGAGCTCTGCGTCTGTTCATTGTTCTGTCCCTGAGGTCTGGCCAAGGAGATGGCCCCGAGATGAAGATGGCGCCTCAAACACTAGGAGAAGGAAGCTGGGGGAGGGCATGTTTGACTTTCTGGGAAAAGACCTCGTGTCCTTAGTAACTCCCCAGGTCACAGGCAGAGTGGGACTCTCACAGCCAGTTTGTCTCTGCTCAGGTCGTGTGGATCACAGCCACCCTGCCTTACTTTGTGCTGTTTGTGCTCCTGGTCCATGGTGTCACACTGCCTGGCGCCTCCAATGGCATCAACGCTTACCTGCACATTGACTTCTACCGCCTCAAAGAGGCCACGGTGAGTGCCTGCTGGCCACCTATCATTGGGCCAGATGGAGGGAGGCTTCTTAGGGGGTAGGTGGTGATGGGTGCAGCAACAGGATTAAGAAGGGCAAATTTCAATGTGCTCCTTTCTTAGTTGAGTGTCCAGCCTACCACTATGCTATAGAGCAAGGACCAAGAAGCAACCTCTTTCTTGTGTAACTCTTAGAAAGATGGGAGACCATTGGCCACAGGTCACCTTGAAACTTGTGAAGCACAGCAGGCTTCCATTGGTTCTGCACCTGTTCAGCTACCCTCATTCACTCAGATATGTAGACACTGAGTCCTTAGTATAGTCTCAGTGAGTGGATCTGCCTTCCTCCATTGCAATGGAAGGTTGGGGAAATCCAGAATAATACAAGTAAAGATGTGGCAGGCACCATCACACTCAAATGCCTTAGTTTAGGTGCATTGAATATATTTATCATATATATATATATGTACACATATATCTACAGACACACACACACACACAGCAATCTTGGATGCTGGAGAAGAGAGACTGACTAGGGCTAAACCATGACACAGAGGTTGGAGAAGTGCTCACATCTTTAGTCCACTAGCCATATACTTTCGCTCCAGGGAGAGGGGATTGGGAAGTAGACTCCATTGTCTCCTAAGGCCCCCACTGCTTACCAGTGTCTGTGACTGGAAAGGGCAGGAGGATGCTATCTTCAGAACTCCCGTGATGGTCAGTACCCTTTGGTCTTTCCCGGCACCATTCTAGCTTAGAATTTTAGGTTTTTAACTTTCTTGAAAACCTGGATGTTAAATGGATTCACTAGGCTCCCCAGAATGTGATTACTCTGGTAGCCAAGGCCAGGAGATGCTAGGGAGATTCCAGCCTGTTACTGTACTGCCTCTGTTGACTTCAGACCACGTTTTCTGGTCTATGGCACTCTCAAGGTGGCAATCCAGTTCTCCAGGAAGCAGAGATGGTGATGACTTCTGTTCACTGGTTTCAGGTATGGATTGATGCTGCAACTCAGATATTTTTTTCCCTGGGGGCTGGATTTGGAGTCTTGATTGCATTCGCCAGTTACAATAAATTTGACAACAACTGTTACAGGTAAGCACCCCTCTAGAGCGTGCCAATGCTTGAGTCCTGGGGTCAGTCCTTATAGGAACCGAGAGAGGGCTTTAACTAGACAGGCTTTATCTGTCCTCTGTGGACCATCCTGATCATTCTGGGAAGCCCAATGTGGTCTAGGGGGCCCGAGGAGCATATTTCACTAGAAGACATCTCTTGGGAAAGTTGAGGTCACTAGCTATAGGAGCTTATGGGGAAGGATTATTGGGACAGAGGAGCATGGCATGGTTTCCAGAGAAGATGAAACTACCTGATGCCATTCATCAGATACTGCCATGAGGCAGGGGCAGAATGAACAGGCTGGAGAGGGCTGGCTGGGTCAGAAGTAAGACTTCAGAGCAGGTGGGATGCTGAAGTTTGGATCAGTGAACACCTAATGCCACTTCCTGCAGACCCTGTGCTATGAGGAATTCAGAGTTGGGGCAGATTTGAGTCTACCTTTCTTGCTCCATTTAACAATAAAGGCAAAAACACAGAAAGAACAGGATGCATGTGCCACCAGGAGAGGTTTTAGGGAGGTCAGAAAAATGGGATGATCACCCCGTTAGTAGGGTGCTGCAATAAGAGCCTAGAGATGAACTTGAGGCAAGCTTGGGAGGACAGCTGAGGTTATGGTAGGCAGGTGGGGAACGGATGGCATGGATAGAGATAGGGAGGCAGTGTGTCAGAGGATCAGGGTTGCTTTGTTCTATTTGTTCCAAGAGTATACACTAGAAGTTATGAGAAACAGGCCAAGAAGGAAGGGTGGCTCATCTTAGCAATGCTCTGAAATGACAGCACAAAGATCTAGGAGACATAGTAAGTCACGGAGAGTTCACTTAAGGAGAGAGGAACTCTTGATCCCCTAAGAGTTCACCAGTGCCTTTGGTGAGCTCTTTGCTTACACACTGGCCCAGCAGGTACTAACCCAGTGGTGGTGAGGCACTGGGGTTCATGTGACAGCATGGCAATGGAAAAGAGGGGTGGCTTTGAGATTGAATGAGACTGAAGATTCCATAGATGGCCAGTGGTTCATGAGCAGAGTGGCATTAGAGTCAGGTGGACTTGCATTGTCAATAGCAGCCCCGCCTCTCTCTCTACCAGGGATGCCCTGCTGACCAGCACCATCAACTGCGTTACCAGTTTTATTTCTGGGTTTGCCATCTTCTCCATCCTTGGTTACATGGCCCATGAACATAAGGTCAAGATTGAGGATGTTGCCACTGAAGGTAGGTGGCCAGACCACTTTGTTTCCAGCTAAAAGAAGAAAGATCGAGCTTGTCATAGTGCCTCTATGGTTGGAAGACAGTGAGGGCTGGCTTTCCATCTGCTGGGCTTTCTCTTGAGGGCATCAGTGAACATTCCTGGAAACCCTGGGCCCTAAGTATATAACACAAGACTTTCCTCTGGCAGCCTAAGAGGAACACATTTTGGGCTGCAAATTCTGCACCAGCCTTTGTGCTAATTACCTAATAATTAGTTCCAAATCTGTTCCAGTTCTGAAGTCCTCATAGTTCCGGGTCTGCAGGAGGTAGCATTAGGTGCTCATACTAGGTTATTTATACACAAAAGATGCTGAGTTAACTTATCCCTCTGTAAGCCCAGAGTAGAGAGATTGGTTGTCCAGTAGGCTTCAGGTACAGGTCGTGTGTTGTTTATCTTGTTATAGAGAAGTAGAAGTAGAAATACCCATGTGTCAAAAGAGTCATGCTTATAGGACAGTGTGTATAACATCTAATTATATCTTTAATGTCCTCAGCCTCTTCACATTACTATATTGGGGAGCAAGCCTGAGCATGAATTTCAGTGGGGACAAACTATGTACCAAACACAGCAGCATAGCTCCACTTAGTTCTCACAAAGCTGCAAGGCAAGGATCAGCAGATTCTCTTTAAAGATGAGTCTTTTGGATTTAAGCTACTGGTGAGCTGGTGAGCAATGATGTTAGCATTTGGCCCCAATCATCTTGACTTTGGATCCTCTGTCTCTCTGTGGCCTTCTGTATCCTTAAGGCTACAAGGAGGTTGAGACCCAGGGAGGGGCATTCTGTAGTGGACTATGAGGGTCATGAGTTTCTGAGAATCAGGGTAGAATCCCACAGAGTAGAAAGTGGGTTTACCACATGTGGCTTGTAGCTGTTCAGGCAAGCTGCTGCTCTCTCTGCCTGGCTGTTTGATGCCCAGGTTGTGTTCATCTGCTTTGCATTACTATTAACAAAATCCCCGAGACAATTGACTTATGATGCGGACAAGGCTAGTTGACTCACAGTTTTGGAGATTTAGTCAATGACTACTTGGCACTCTTGCTTTGAGACCTGTGTTGGGGACAACCTGTTCACCTAATGGCTGAGGTGCAAAAGGGAGAGAGGGAAGAAGAGATTGGGTCCCAGTATCTTCTACAAGGACACATCCTCAATAAATGGAAGACTACATTGGACCTCATATCTTGAACTTCCTACCACTTCAAAACTGCTCTAGCTAACTGATCAAGACTTTGACACAGGGCTGCTTGGGGGACATTACAGATCTCAAAAATAGCACAACTAAACTGTGTCTCCTTGTCTCATGCACAGATCATGAGTCTGTGCTGTCCACGCATGACTGATCAAGAGTCCCGAGCCCCAATTGAACATCCCAGCCATTGACCAGGCCTTAATATTTCTTACAGGAGCTGGCCTTGTGTTTATCTTGTATCCAGAAGCCATCTCCACTCTGTCAGGATCCACGTTCTGGGCGGTTTTGTTCTTCTTGATGCTCCTGGCTCTGGGTCTGGACAGCTCAGTGAGTAATTCCTCTCAGAACACCCTTCTCCACCACTGTAATCCACACCAGTACTCAGCCTGCAGGGCTGTTGCTGTCTGGTGTCTGTTTCCAAGGGCCCTATTTTAATCCAAATAATGAAGTGAGTCTTCTTTCAAAATGATAGCCTAGGTCAAAGCCAGGAACCTACAGGAACTCCAAATTGTACTGGGTCTCAGACAAGCCAGCCCAACACTTTGCTTTTGCGGATGGGGAGGCAGACTTCAGAAAGGACATGAATAGAATGTTCTGTGACCCAGCACTTTCCCACTCATTATATTTTATTACTAACAAACAACCCAAACATTTTGGACCCTGCTAGGTTACTAGAATTACTGTTGTTGTTTTTTCAGTTGTTTAGTTATGTGCAAATTAAGTTCCTGACATCTTTTTAATGTCTGTTTCTACCCTTCAGTCTTAAATGCCTTAGGGAAGGGCTGGCCGGCAGACCTCACTGTCTTTGCTTTTCACTTGGTGGATCTGCCAGAGCAGTGTGCTGGAAAGGATTCTGAGGCTGACTCCAGACCTCAGGGAAGAGTATTGAGGTTGATTAACAATGCCTGCCAAGGGCATTGGAGAGGAGCAAGGGACATGTGTGATTATTGACTGCCACAGCAGTGGCTCATAAGGAATATAAGGAATAGACTCACAGTCTGTACTTAAAGTGACCACTTCGCTTGGAAAGGCAGTAAGGGACCCTTATCATATACTACAGTATGAAGTTTCCACTCTGGATAAGTTCTTTGGTTGATGTTTCCAGAAGGTTCTATTTGCACGTAGATGTGTCATCTGGCAACTATATCCTTCACTCGCTATTTCTCATCAGTACTCAGGCTGAATGAATCAGAGGTCAGGGACCTGTTGAGGAGGCAGGCAAGAGTTGACTCTCATTTCATATAATTTGAGCGTGATTGAGACTGGAGCAGAAAAAGATGCTTAAGAGGAAAGCAGGGCCTGCCAGTTTCTGAGGAGCCTGATGTACGTGAAGCTGATAGTGAGCTGCAGAAAGGACGCCCTTCATTCCTGCCCCTCCCTCCTGGTTCTCTACAGATGGGAGGCATGGAAGCAGTCATCACAGGACTGGCTGATGACTTCCAGGTCTTGAAGCGGCACCGGAAACTCTTCACATTTGGTGTCACCATAAGTACTTTCCTTCTGGCCATGTTTTGCATAACCAAGGTGAGGTTGGGCTTGGGGCAATCTGGGACTTTTTAAAGACTGTTTCAAAAATCCAGACGTTCTCAGCCTTGGTACTGGGATGGGCCGGGTGGGCCTGAGCACAGGGGTTCTGCTATCCTGAACCCCACCCGGCCATTGGTTAGAATGCAGACGCATTTGGCTGTACAGCCCTGCCACCCATGTTTGTAAACGGGGCTCTGATCATGAGGCAATGGGGACAGGAAGGATTTGCAGGATGGATAGGATAGCCAGTGACTGCTTATACCAAGGTTGGCTCAAGCCCTTTCTCTCTGTGACCAGGGAGGAATTTATGTCCTGACTCTGCTGGATACTTTTGCAGCAGGCACCTCCATTCTGTTTGCGGTACTTATGGAAGCTATCGGAGTGTCCTGGTTTTATGGTAAGTGAGTGTTGTCGTAAGCCTTGGTCCTAAGAGCTCCTGGGAGGGAAAGGGGCTTTTCATGTCCAAGACAACCACTGGGATCTCCAGAAGTGAACACTTCACTTAATAGGTGTAAGTCTCTCCAACCCTTAGCTCACTGGGCTGCAAAGACCTGGGAGAGACTGGGTGCCAACATCTGAAAGAGAACCAGTAGCGAGCTGCAGACCCCCAGCCACCAAACCTGACAGTGCATGCATCAGAGTGAACAAACAAAGCAGCTAAACTTGAACTTCAGATGAATGATAAATACATGTTTTCAGATCAGCATGACCCAAATACTTCGCAGACTCTCCTGATGCTGATATTTTTCATTACGGGTCTGAAATTCAAACCTAAACAGATATCCTGTATTTTATCCACTAAACTCACTCTGGAGCTGGACTGAGAAATCAACTGTCACATGTGATATAATTGCTCATTTCCCCTTCATGTGACAGTAGTAGGCTAATCTTGGTTTTGCTCTTTCTGGAAGGGGTTGCAGCATGTAATGGTCTCTTTCAGATTATGCTTGGAGGGGTGTCCACGTGTGCACATGCGTGGTCAGATGGAATGTTCTCACTGAAAGGCTATGCCAGAGGAAAGAGCCAGACTGGGGTCAAGGCACCTGGCTTGTCAGTTTGGGTCAAGTGTTCGCTTCTCTGAGCCCTGGCTTCCCTCTTGTAAGAGTGGCACAGGAAAGGTGGCTGTCCCAGAGTTTGTCCTGTCTCTTGTTAGCAAAGTGCTTTTCGGGCCTCCCGCGTTCCAAGGTGTCAGTCTCTCGCCACCTGCCCTGCACTCTGCCAGAACTTCATGGAATGGCTTCAGGGGAGGCCCCAGGCCTGCACCTGTGGGCTCTCTGTGACATGCTTGCCCTGTGTGCTCACAGGTGTTGACAGGTTCAGCAATGACATTCAGCAGATGATGGGGTTTAAGCCAGGCCTGTACTGGAGACTGTGTTGGAAGTTCGTCAGTCCTGCCTTCCTTCTGGTGGGTTTGATGTGGCTGGGGTACCTGTAGAAGGGTGGTTGAGTACAGGCTGGGGGTGGGGTGGGCACATTTATTCCCTAGGGGGGATGCTGGAATCTAGAAGTCTGGTCATGCAGGCAGGACTCTTAGAAGGGTCAGGGGGGGTACTCTACCTTAGTGGATCTCCAGCCAGGTCCCCTACCCCCACCCCATGCTGTTGTGTTGGCTACAAAGTCACTTTTGTTCCTTCCTCCCCCATTGCTTTGCCATCTCGAATCTTCACTAACTCTTGCTTGCCTCCTGAACACCTCTTCTTTTTCTTTCTCATTTCCTCCTACAATCGTCTCCTTTTGTTTCTATCTCTGCCATTCTCTTCTCCCTTCCATCCTCTCTCTTTTCTGTTTCTCCTTCCCGCCCCATCCTTTCCTCCAGTTTGTGGTGGTGGTCAGTATCATCAACTTCAAGCCGCTCACCTACGATGACTACGTCTATCCTCCCTGGGCCAACTGGGTCGGGTGGGGCATTGCCCTCTCATCCATGATCCTGGTACCTGCCTATGTCATCTACAAGTTCTTCAGCATTCGGGGCTCCCTTTGGGAGGTGAGCTCTGGGATGGCTATTGTGGGATAAGGGGAAGGCGGCATTCTTGTTGGGGTGAGAGAGCGAAAGAGGATACTTGGGATACTTGGGGGTCAGCATACCCACCTCATTTACCAAGTGATGACCCTTCCTGAGCCTCAGCTTCCACATCTGTAACTTGGGAATAATATCTTGTGCCTTGGAAGAGAAAAGCACTTGGGGACTAAGCACAGAAACTGGCCCATGGGAGGTGCTTCCCACATGCCTGCATGCTGCCCATCAGTACTGGGGCTGTTTCTGCTGCTCACAGGGGAAGGCAAATCTCAGCCACGCCTGTCCCCTTTTAGTGTGTTATGTCCCCAGATATCCCATATCTTCTCGTCTAAGTCCACTACCATTTTTAAAATAATAATAATACGATTAACCTTCAACCAGGGGTTTCTGAAATGATTCCTTTTCCTTTATATGCATGCATTGTATACACACACACACACACACCCAACCCTCAACAGAGGTGCCCTTTATCCTGAAGTTACACCATGACTTTTATTTTGCTGTATAAACTAGTGGCGGTAGTCTTTCCAAGTGTCCTTACTTTGTAAGGCAAAGACCTCACATCTGAGCTGCTTTGGGCACATCTGAGGTCTGGGCCACCAAGACTCCCTCCCTCCCTTCTCCCTTTTTCACAGAGAGTGGCCTATGGCATCACACCAGAGAACGAGCACCACCTGGTGGCCCAGAGAGACGTGAGACAGTTCCAGGTAGATGCAGAGCTGACCTTGGGGGTGGTGTGGGGGCAGGGTAGGGTGGGTTCTGGTTGTTCTCTGTGGGGTGCCCAAGCAGGATCACAGTTGGGAAAACTGGGTGGTGTCTAGCTTCAGTTTAGGGGCAAATAAGGTGATGGGTGTTTAGTCAGCCACCAGATGCTGCTGCTGCTATTTCCTAGTCCTGATGCTGAGTGCTGAAGATTCCCGCTTTTATTCTAGCTCTGACGTGTTAGTGACAGAGGTGACTAAGTTAGCGTCACCAAACTAAGCTGAACATTTTATAGTCTTGACAGCATAGCATCAGGACATTAGTAACAGCTGCTGGCCCCAGGGCTGGGGGTGGTGTCTGCTGAGCTTCCTCTTTAGGGGTGGCTTCTTTGTACCCAACCTCAGCACCAGTTAAGGACTGTGTTCTGAAGTCTGCGGCTGTTTTTTTTTTTTTCCTCCCCTTTGCTTCTTGATGTCCCAACCAACTGGCCCCTGGTCCTTCAAGACCCCACTGGCTCTGCCTTCAACTATGTTGGTCCCACTGTCTTTCATTACAGTTGCGGCACTGGCTGGCTATCTGAACCTGGCTCTGAGGAGGAGGAACCCATCATCTGGACCAAGGGCATCCTCTTCACCCCCATGCGGACACCGCCCTGGGATTCCCGTCCTGGAAGAACCTTTCCCATCCCTCTTGTTTTCCCGGTTACTAATGATTCTATGACTCTGGTTTTGTTTGCCTTCTGTTAATCAGGCATGGAGGCAGTGAGTGTGGAGAACTAAAGAGTCTCGAGGAAGAGGATGAGAGGAGGGAATGGGGCCTGGCTTCTGGAACTCTGGCTAGAGGGCAATCTCAGTGCACACATGAGATCCATGACTCAGGCAGAGCCTCTTCCTGAATTTGCTTGTACTTCAGATCTTAGAAGAAACCTTCAATTCATCAAGGCCAAGAGAAGATTGTCTTTTGGCTAGATATCAAAAGCCCAACCGAAGCCTGATGGGGTCTGTGTGGGAGCCAAGGTTACCCAGCTTTTCATCTAGTCACCACTTAGGTACCTGAGCCTCTGTGTGGGAGTTAGGGTTTATTTGCACCTAAAATGTGACTGGTAATGTTTTAGGGGTTTTAAGTAAAAATCCTCTAATTTAAGTTTTCCGTTTAATCTGAGATTGGTTTTTGAATGTTCTAGAATATTACTCTAGCTTCTGGTGTTTGGCTAGTCCCAAACCATGATGTTAGTGGAAGAATGTAGCTGGACTACCAGTGAAGAAGTTCACAAAGTCAGATACTCCAGAAAGGTGATAGAGACAGCTAGACACATCACCCTTGCCAAGACCACACACTGCTCACGTTCTGTCTGACACATGGATGGCTCCAGAGACCTTCCTGGGGATTGAGGCATAGCAGAGATCTTTGTTGTGTTGGGTCAAGTGCATGACTGAGGGCAACGTGATAGGCTGCCATAGTTCTTCATGGTCTACAGGCTTGTCCTAAGCCTCCTCCTGGGATCCTGGCAGACAGGGAGGGGTCCTGAGTAATGGGATATATTGACTCTGAAAATGGTCTGCTTCTTCCTTGACTGGACTTGGCACCTTGGAGGGCATAATGGGATGGAGATCTACCACATCAGAGCACAGCCCTTCATGTCTAGGGGATGATATCCTGACTGGTGACGACAGGTTGGTGGGGTCAGGAAATTTCTAGGTTCACTTAGTGCCCTCTGGTGGTTAGTTTTGATTCGTTGAGGGAAAGGATGGCTTGGTAAATCGATGGCATCTCCTTGGCATGTATGTTTATGGTTTGAGTCTCATAAGCCCTTATTTGAAATGTAGAATCATAGTTTGTCATTGTGATCGTGGAATTCCGTGCTGCAGGTTTTTTTTATTTATGTGTTGTGAAAAAAAAGCCACTGAACACTTTGGGGTCGTGTAGGAGGCCACATGGAGAAACTGGTATGTCCCCATGGAGGGTGCAAGAGGAGGCCAGGTGAGGATAGCTGGATGGGAGATATTTTACTCTGAAGATCCCAAGATTTCCCTGAATCAGGGTCCTTGAGTCATTCTTTAGAGGAAATCCAGCGACTTTGGTTCTTCTGTATAAGAAAGCTGGCTCAGCTCAAGGCACCCCCCAGTGGCAAATGTCTTGCAGTGCTGGGCAAGCAGAACCTCACCCACCTCACTGTCAGAGTCCTGTTAGCAGACAGTCTCAACACCTCTGACGAATAGCACACTTGTTATCTTTAAAGAGAGTTTATCATTATTCAAGTAAAACACTTTCCACCCACACTTCCTCCCTTCTACCCCGTAAGAAGAAAGGCTGTGTCCTATCTTCCATCTCCCCATGTCCCTGGTGAGAAGACAGAGTCCCTCTTGCTCAAGGTCTCAGCTCCTGAGGGACCAGGGTGGACCCTCTCTCTATTCCCATCCTGTCTTCACCCTCCAGAGCACCGGGCAACTCCCTGTTCACCCCACCCAGGGTTGTCACCAAATGCAGAGGGCACAGAGTCCCACTTAAGAGGAAAGGAGTGTTTCTTAGCAGAAGGACAGTGTGTTGGGAGAAGGGTAGAAGAATGTCACTCTTCTCGTCCCACGGGCTCCCTGAGAGGCACTGTTCTTTCCTCTGATGCCAATTGTCATACTTTGAAGCAAGTCCACCTATCTGTCATGAGTGCACACACTCAGAAAGTCAGGGTGCCCTGAATCAGCACTGGTTCACCATTTTCTCATTGCCACCTATGTGGTCCCTCTGCCCGTAGACATTGTCCCCGGGGTGAAGTTGAGATGCGGTGCTAGCCGAATGAGCCCCAAACTAGAGCAAAGGTGCTGTTCTGTGGCAAAGTTGGGTCTTGAGATTGGGACACGGGGTTCTTGGCTCCAAGCCCAGGTGCTCTGATGGGGTAGGTTAGGGTGGGGCACCCAGAAAGGTCCTGGAGGTTCTCATGAAGGTGCTAGGAGGCCACTGCACCCACCTTTCCACCCACACTCAGCAGATGGGGGTTATGCTTAATCACAAATAATGCTTGACTTCCTTATTGTGACTTTTTTTTAAATAGTGGAGTCCAGTGTGCTCCTGAGTACTGTATATGACACTTGACACTTTTGATATTTTATCATATTTTTAGAGAATTATTTTCTATGAGCTGTGAGTCATTTGTTTAAGAACATTGGTGTTATTTAGACCATTCCTGTCAGTCTTCATTCTAGATTCCAGTGAGACAGAGGAGTAAAAGGATACCAACTCACCCTAGAAATCCTGCTCCGCAAAGGTCTCTAAACTGCCTTAGTTCTCAGAGGGTGTTCCTGCCCAGACAGGAGCCAGTCCCCTGCCGTATAATCCATCATCCAGTCTGGATTTTCCAGATCTGGTAATGTAAGACTGACACGTTCTTACCAAAGAAACCATTTCTACCCCATACATTTGTTTGTTTGTTTGTTTTTGAAAACCACAGAGGGGGAAGTGACCAGAGTGGGTGTTTGGTGTGGTGGAATCAGCACAGTATTTAGAATTGATTAGCGGAGGGTCTACAGTGGATTAGCTGTGGCTTGAGACAGGAGCTTTGCATCTTTGGGTTTAAGGGGGTTTTGTCTATAAAATCAGAACTTGATCGGGTAATCAATCAATTAAAAACATAAGCAACAACAAAGCACAACAACGTCCTTGTGCTCAAGTTACAATGACAAAAGCATGCCGCTTACAGCAGAAGCTTCCAAAAGTGACCCATAACTGACCAACTATTGGCCTGCATAGCTTTGATATTTCTTTATGTCTAGTAGATCCCCTATCTCAGATATTTTTTCAGCCAACACCAAAAAGACTTGGTATCTAAGAAGTCGAGTCCAGCCTCTCGATCTGACACTTGGATGGTGTGAGAAGGTGAAGGGCATGCTCTGCCCTGTGTTTGCAAGTCTGGGTACCCACAGCTCTGCCCAGAGGCAGTGTGCTTGGCCCTGGCTGGTGAATGTGAAGCCGTGGGTGCCTGCCCTCGCCCCACTGTCTCTACTTCTATGTAAATAGGATTGTTTCCATCTTCTCCATGTCATGGACCATCCAAGTACCATGCAAATCTCTGTGTCTGCTTTGGATGTGTTTTGAAAGTTGCTCTTTTCATGGGAAAAAATAAGTGTACAGTATAATAAAAGACATTGCCTGTGCTGTCTATTTGGTTGTGAAGTTCTGAGTGCTGTTCCATGCATGTAAAAGCTAGTGACGCAAGTGACATTGTCTCTGATGAGCAGCCAAGTAGTAAAGAAGAGATTCTGGACACAGAAGCCCACCTTTCATCTGTATGCTTGCTCTGAGGACCTGTGGAGGAGATGGATACAGAAGGGTTGAGTGTGTGATGTTAGCTCAAAGATCGCCTCTCCTCTCCTCTCCTCTTCTCTTCTTTCGTCTCCTCTCCTCTCCTCTCCTCCCCTCCCCTCCCCTCCACTTCTCTCTCCTCTTCTCTCCTCCCCTCCCCTTCTCTCTCCTCTCCTCCTTTCCCTTCCCTTCCCCTCCCATTCTCCTTCCACTCTTTCCCTTCTCTTCTCTCCACTCTATCTCAGCCCCTCCTCTCTTCCATGCTTTGTTCCTTTCCTTCTGTTTTATGATCTGTTCTTCTCTAGAACTTGGGATCAAACCCAAGAGCACACTGAGCTATGCTCTCCCCTGATGAGCTACACCCCTGGCTCGTTTTTGTTTAAATACAAAGTGGATGCCGTGAGACAACATGCCTTGTGTCTAACTTTGTTAAGTTTGTCATTCCTAGGCCTGGGTTTCAAAGGCATTAGAACCTCTGCTGAATTAAACTGGGTGCACAGTTTAGTGCAGATGCGGACTTCTCTGGGCAGAGGGTGCTGTCCACACTCAGGCTCTTGGGGTTCACATTGGTTTTGTTTGGGGGGAAGTTGTGAGCTCAGTATGTTTGTTCTCGCCTTTTATGGAAAATGGATTGTTTCCGTCACACAATATATCCTGATTATGATTTCCCCTCTCTCTACTCTTCCAGTTCCTTCCCACCTCCCCTCCCATCCAGATCCACCCGTGTTCTGTCTCTACAGGATAATAATAGAATAAAATACAATAATACAGAACAAAGACTAACTCATAGGAACAGGACAAAGCAATCAAACATAAGGGAAAGACACCAAGAGAAGGCACAAGAAACAGATATATAGAGGCAGAGATCCACTCATTTACCCACTCAGGAATTCCATGAAATCACTAACCTGGAAACCACTATATATATCCAAAGGACCCATAGAGTAAAAGGAGAGAATATATATATATATATATATAAGTAAAATATAAAAAACCAAGATGAAAAAGAAGTCCCTGATGTGACATATGAGACAAGGAGCTCCCAATGATGCTACCGTTGAATTCATTTTCTGTTGGCCTCCTATTGCTAGGCATGCAGCCTACCCTTATGAGTACCACCAATGAAACACCCTTGAGAGAAACTGAATTTTCACTTGCAAATGGTTATGGGGGCCTGTGTCCACTTTCTGCTCTAGGACCCCCACTGGTGCAGACCCACACAGGCCCTCTGCATGCTGCCTCAGTCTCTGTGAGTTCATGTACTTTGATCAAGTTGATTTAGAGGGCCTTGTTTTCTTGGTGTCCTCTGGCTCATATGCTCTTACTGCCTCCTCTTCAGTGGGGTTCCCTGACCCCTGAGAAGAGGAATTTGCCAGAGACATCCCCTTCAGGGTCAAGTGTCCCAAGTCTCACTCTCTGCATAATGTTTGGCTGTGGGTCTCTTTATTTGTTCCCATCTGCTATAGAGGAGGCTACCCTGGTGATAGCTAAGCAAGGCATTGATCTATGAGTACTGCAGAATGTCATTAAAAGCTGTTTTATTGCTACATTTTATATTTATATCTCTGTATCTATCTATCTAGAACAGTAGTATTTAGTTTTACCCTAGGTCCCCAAGATATCTAGTCTCAGGTTCTTGGTCACCCAAGCAGTGTCAGATATGGACTCCATCTCATGGAGTGCCTTAATGATTTATCTTCAGTCAAATCATTTATTGATTAGTTACTCCCCCAATGGTGGAGCACTGGCATTGCAGGCTGGATACCACTGTAGACCTAAGGGTTTGCGGCAGACTTGGTGTTTATGTTTCTCCTTTGGTAGTGTGCAAAATACCTTCTTGTACCAAAGACAGTAGCCAGTAGGAATGAAGGCTCTACATGGGGATCAGTTTGATGTCTCTATGTTCAATGAATTGTATAGGTGTTGTCTTTAGCAATGGAGCCTTGCCATCAGTGTGTAGAGTGCAACCTGTAGTCTCAGCAACAGCCTGGATTACTTTGGGGTTCCCTTGGAACCCCTTTGGCCAACATCTCAAATAGGTGTAACCCTAGTCCTGGTATGGAAGCTTCATTTTATGACAAGATAGGCCAGCTGGGACTCTGTCTCCTCCATTCTGGTTCTGGGTCACCTCACTAAGGATGGTGTTTTTCTAGTGCTATCCAATGGCCTGTGAATTTATTGATTTCATTTTTTCCTCTTATGGCTGAGTAACAATCCCTTGTGTAAATGTACCATATTTCCTTTATCCTTTCATTTATTGAAGGACAGCTAGTTGTTTTCAATATATGGCTATCAGGAATAGAGCAGTGAAGAGCATGGTTGAGCAAGTGTCTCTGTGGTAGAAACAAGTGTTCTTTGTATATATATACCCAGCAGTGGCATAGCTGGATCTTGAGGTAGATCGAATCCCATCTTCTTGAGGAACTGCTATATTGATTTCCATGGTGGTTATTCAAGTTTGCACTTCCACCAGCAACTGATGAGTGTTCCCCTTATTTCACATCCTCACCAGCATCAGCTGTTGCTTGTGTTACTGATCCTAGCCATTTTGGTGAGCATAAATTAATCTCAAACCAGTTCGATTTGCACTTCCCTGATGACAAAAGATGTGAACATTTATTTGTTTCTTAGCCATTGAGTTTCCTCTTTTTAAAAGTCTGAATAGATCTGTACCTTATTTTTTAACTGGGTGATTTGTTTCTTGGTATATAATTTTTTTAGTTATTTGTATGTTTGGAAACTAACTCTCTATCAGAAGTGTAGTTGGTAAAAATCTCCAAGTCTGTAGACTGCCATTTTGTCCAAATGACAGTGCCCTGTGCCATACAGAAGCTTCTCAGTTTCATGAGGTCCCATTTATTAATTGTTGAAGTTAGTGCCTGTCCTAACACTGTTCTTTTCAGAAAGTGTTTTTCTGTGCCAATGAGTTCCCATTGTCTTTTCTATCAGGCAATGTGTTTGTTCTTAATGAAAACCATCCAGTAGCTGATCTAGAGAATTTGGCATCAAATGAAGATTTGATCAGTGTTCCTCCTTCTATGAAGGCTGGCAGGGAGTGAGCACTAGGCCCTGGAGCTGAGTGGAGTTTAATAGGAGGAAGAGAAGATTGCTTGCAAAGTTAGCACCTTCATGATCCAGTTAGCCCTCAACAGCAACCACCATCTGGGGAACACGTCTTCAACACTCGAGCCTTTGGGTGACATTCCATACCACAACATTCTGCCCCTAGCTGCTTAATGTTCATGACCACATTGTAATTTAAAATATATTTAGTCCATCTCTAAAAGTTCTCATTGTCTTAGCAAGTCTAGCTCAGTGAGGGCTATTGAGATGGCTTATCAGGTTAAGAGTACCTGGCACCAAGTCTGATATCTGAATTTCATCTTCAGAATCTACATGGTGTGAGGAGGGAACTAACTCCTGAGAGTTGTTCTCTAGCCTTCATACACACACACACACACACTAAATAAATGAATGAAAAAAAGTTTAAGTTCAAGATCGCTGCTCAGACTCAAAGCAACATCTAACTGATGATTAATTAAAAAAGAACATTACATAGTTCCAGTATAAAATAGTGGGGCATGGCAAACGTTTCCATTTCTGATAGCAGCATGGGACCCACAAAGCAAGACCAAAACCCAGCAGGGCAAACATTAAATCTTCCATTCAGTACTCGGCACATGCTGTCAGGAAGTGGGTTTCAGAGACCCTGTGCATCCCAGCGCCTCTGACGTCATGAGCTGGCGCCCACACAGCCTCTCTCTTGGGCTAGCTGTGCTGAGGCCACGTGGTTTTCTCAGGCAGTCGCTTCACATTGCTGTCTCCACTTCAATGTCGGCACCATCCCCACAGCTTCACTCCTAGCCCTGTCAGAGGGATTCTGAGACTCGCACACAACACCTGGCTTCCTAGCCCTTTTGTTGAAGTTTCGTGGGGATCTTCCAGGATGCCATGATTCTTAAAGAACACCAGCCTGTAATGCCACTCTCATATGGACAACGTCAAGGTGTGCTAATAGTTCAAGCAGGTGCAGCTCTCCCTGCACTTAATTGAGACACCCTCCAAGTGTCTGCGTGATGGAATGCAGGAAATTGTTTTCTAAATGACTCCGTAGGCATGTCACCCCAAAACTCTTTTAACAAAATAAGCGAGGCCGGTCTTTCCCCATTCCATTCTGGGATACGGTCTCACTACGCGGCCCAGGCTGACTTTGGCTTTGCTCCTTCTTCTCTCTCTCCTCCTCCCCTTCTCTCTTTTTTCCTCTTCTTTGTTTTGGGATAGTCTCATTCTAGGCTGACTTTGAACTCACAGACTCACATACTTCCCACCCCCGTCCCACAAACGATGGGATTACAGGTATATGTTGCCCCTCACAGAAACAAAGTCTCTCAAATGAAATTTTTCCATTACACACTTGGACCCACAATGGGTAGTATCCATCCATTTCTTGAGACATCTTTCTCTTCCGGAGGCCACTAAAAGAATATACAACAGTGACAGCTAGTATTTAACAAGTCAACCCACTAAATGTTGTTGGGGAGCCACTTGGCAAAGCCGGTAGGGTTATTGACAATGAATGAATGTCTGAAACGTTCTCCGGTGCTTTTACTTACCTCCCTAATAAGAACAACTTTGGGGGTCTTTCCACAGCCCTTTGGTGATGTGTTTTATACTTGTTGGGCTCACATATAGCTGTGGATGGTCAGGAAGATGACCATAGATGACTAGGAAGGTGGACATAAGATTCCCGGTCACAAAGACAGTCTTTTGCACAGACAAGCTAACTTTAGACTTCAGACCAAATTCAAAGCAGGTTGGTTGCCCCTGGGGACAATATCTGTTTGCCCCTAGAGACAAAG